ACAGTATAAATTTAAAGATATAAGGGGCCATTTTGAACAATCGTAAGAAAGGGTAAAAAACAGTATATATGAAGTTGGTGCATTTGGGAGGAGCAGTATAAATAACAGTATATATGAAGGGGGCCATTTGGGACGCATATATAAAGTATACAGTATATATGAAGGGGCCATTTGGGACGCAGTATAAAGTAACAGATATATGAAGGGTGCCATTTGGAAACGTAGTAAATAAAGTATAACAGTATAAGTAATGAGGGGTGCCATTGGGGACGTAGTATAAAGTATACAGTATATATGAAGGGTGCCATTTGGGACGCAGTATAAAGTATACAGTATATATGAAGGGTGCCATTGGGGCCGTAGTATAAAGTATACAGTATATATGAAGGGGCCATTTGGAACGTAGTATAAAGTATACAGTATATATGAAGGGGGCCATTTGGAACGTAGTATAAAGTATACAGTATATATGAAGGGGGCCATTTGGGACGCAGTATAAAGTATACAGTATATATGAAGGGGGCCATTTGGGACGCAGTATAAAGTATACAGTATATATGAAGGGGGCCATTTGGAACGCAGTATAAAGTATACAGTATATATGAAGGGGGCCATTTGGAACGCAGTATAAAGTATACAGTATATATGAAGGGGGCCATTTGGAACGCAGTATAAAGTATACAGTATACATGAAGGGTGCCATTTGGGACACAGTATAAAATACATGTGGTGGCACCAGGCTTCATATGGATTATATACAATATGTGATGCTCCTGATCCCTGGACGTCAAAGGACCAGCTCCTGATCCCTGGACGTCAAAGGGCCAGCTCCTGATCCCTGGACGTCAAAGGACCAGCTCCTGATCCCTGGACGTCAAAGGGCCAGCTCCAGATCCCTGGACGTCAAAGGACCAGCTCCTGATCCCTGGACGTCAAAGGACCAGCTCCTGATCCCTGGACGTCAAAGGACCAGCTCCTGATCCCTGGACGTCAAAGGGCCAACTCCAAAACACCCAACCAGACCATGCCATTCTAGAGGAGGGGGGTTTACCAGGGTCCCATCTAAGACATCCCCTCTGTCCTCTACTCTGGTCAGGAATAGTTTTCACTTTCATGAGTATTAAAGGAGAGCTGCTACTGACTGACTGTCTGCCTGCCTGCCTGCCTGCCTGCCTGCCTGCCTGCCTGCCTGCCTGCCTGCCTGCCTGCCTACCTGCCTGCAGAGAGAGGACTGGACATTACTGTAGTTATAGCAGAGAGAGAGAGGACTGGACATTACTGTAGTTATAGCAGAGAGAGAGGACTGGACATTACTGTAGTTATATCAGACAGAGAGAGGACTGGACATTACTGTAGTTATAGCAGAGAGAGGACTGGACAGTACTGTAGTTATATCAGACAGAGAGAGGACTGGACATTACTGTAGTTATAGCAGAGAGAGGACTGGACATTACTGTAGTTATAGCAGAGAGAGGACTGGACATTACTGTAGTTATAGCAGAGAGAGAGGACTGGACATTACTGTAGTTATACAAGAGAGAGGACTGGACATTACTGTAGTTATAGCAGGCAGAGAGAGGACTGGACATTACTGTAGTTATAGCAGAGAGAGAGAGGACTGGACATTACTGTAGTTATAGCAGACAGAGAGAGGACTGGACAGTACTGTAGTTATAGCAGACAGAGAGAGGACTGGACAGTACTGTAGTTATAGCAGAGAGAGAGAGGACTGGACATTACTGTAGTTATAGCAGAGAGAGGACTGGACATTACTGTAGTTATAGCAGAGAGAGGACTGGACATTACTGAAGTTATAGCAGAGACAGGACTGGACATTACTGAAGTTATAGCAGAGAGAGGACTGGACATTACTGTAGTTCTAGCAGAGAGAGGACTGGACATTTCTGTAGTTATAGCAGACAGAGAGAGGACTGGACATTACTGTAGTTATAGCAGACAGAGAGAGGACTGGACATTACTGTAGTTATAGCAGAGAGAGGACTGGACATTACTGTAGTTCTAGCAGAGAGAGGACTGGACATTACTGTAGTTATAGCAGAGAGCGGACTGGACATTACTGTAGTTATAGCAGACAGAGAGAGGACTGGACAGTACTGTAGTTATAGCAGACAGAGAGAGGACTGGACAGTACTGTAGTTATAGCAGACAGAGAGAGGACTGGACATTACTGTAGTTATAGCAGACAGAGAGAGGACTGGACATTACTGTAGTTATAGCAGAGAGAGGACTGGACATTACTGTAGTTATAGCAGACAGAGAGAGGACTGGACAGTACTGTAGTTATAGCAGACAGAGAGAGGACTGGACAGTACTGTAGTTATAGCAGACAGAGAGAGGACTGGACAGTACTGTAGTTATAGCAGACAGAGAGAGGACTGGACAGTACTGTAGTTATAGCAGACAGAGAGAGGACTGGACAGTACTGTAGTTATAGCAGACAGAGAGAGGACTGGACAGTACTGTAGTTATAGCAGACAGAGAGAGGAATGCAGTGGTTTTATTAAATAATGTTTTTTGGAATGAAGAGTCAATCAGACAGATACAGAGGCTGTCTCAAATGGCACCCTATTCCCTATGGCACTGATCAAAAGTAGTGCACTACATAGGGAATAGGGTCTCCCTCACTACCCCTTGGTTTCTCTCTCCGTCTTTTATCAGTCTCCCTCACTACCCCTTGGTTTCTCTCTCCCTCTTTAATCAGTCTCCCTCACTACCCCTTGGTTTCTCTCTCCCTCTTTTTATCAGTCTCCCTCACTACCCCTTGGTTTCTCTCTCCCTCTTTAATCAGTCTCCCTCAACTACCCCTTGGTTTCTCTCTCCGTCTTTAATCAGTCTCCCTCACTACCCCTTGGTTTCTCTCTCCGTCTTTAATCAGTCTCCCTCACTACCCCTTGGTTTCTCTCTCCCTCTTTAATCAGTCTCCCTCACTACCCCTTGGTTTCTCTCTCCCTCTTTAATCAGTCTCCCTCACTACCCCTTGGTTTCTCTCTCCCTCTTTTTATCAGTCTCCCTCACTACCCCTTGGTTTCTCTCTCCCTCTTTAATCAGTCTCCCTCACTACCCCTTGGTTTCTCTCTCCCTCTTTTTATCAGTCTCCCTCACTACCCTTGGTTTCTCTCTCCCTCTTTAATCAGTCTCCCTCACTACCCCTTGGTTCTCTCCCTCTTAATCAGTCTCCCGAATCACTCCCCTTGGTTTCTCTCTCCGTCTTTAATCAGTCTCCCTCACTACCCCTTGGTTTCTCTCTCCGTCTTTAATCATCTCCCTCACTACCCCTGGTTCTCTCTCCCTCTTTAATCAGTCTCCCTCACTACCCCTTGGTTTCTCTCTCCCTCTTTAATCAGTCTCCCTCCATACCCCCTGGTTTCTCTCTCCCTCTTTAATCAGTCTCCCTCACTACCCCTTGGTTCTCTCTCCCTCTTTTATCAGTCTCCCTCACTACCCCTTGGTTTCTCTTCCCTCTTTAATCAGTCTCCCTCACTACCCCTTGGTTTCTCTCTCCCTCTTTAATCAGTCTCCCTCACTACCCCTTGGTTTTCTCTCCCTATTTAATCAGTCTCCCTCACTACCCCTTGGTTTCTCTCTCCCTATTTAATCAGTCTCCCTCACACCCCCTTGGTTTCTCTCTCCCTCTTAATCAGTCTCCCTCACTACCCTTGGTTTCTCTCTCCCTCTTTTATCAGTCTCCCTCACTACCCCTTGGTTTCTCTCTCCCTCTTTAATCAGTCTCCCTCACTACCCCTTGGTTTCTCTCTCCCTCTTTAATCAGTCTCCCTCACTACCCCTTGGTTTCTCTCTTCTCCCCCCCATCTTCTCCCCCGCTCTCTCTGTTCGTGTTAGTCCAGATCAGGTTGTCACGCCAACACGTCTAACATCTGTCCCGTCTCCTAGGTAACCCTGGTTGTGACCTTATCAGTGACTGAGGGAAACGTGCGCTCTGTCATGTTTTTCCTGTACATCTGACTCATACCCAACCACCACAGTAAGGTACATCATGCCAGGGACACTAAATCAAGTGCATTTTAGTATTTTAAAGGAAACTAGTTTAAATGTGTACCGACGTCTGTACTGCATCAAGAGTTACAGAGATGAGACGTTCTGTAAAACAGTACAGTGAGGAGTTAAACATGTACTGTACAACACACACACACTCCTCAGAGTTTATAAGGGCAGATATGGCCTAGCTGGTTTGAAAGGATCAGTGTCTGAGAGGGAAGACACCTAGAGCTGGGTTGGTGGTTGGGGGGGCTACAGACCTGGGAGAGTCCATCTTTTTTTTTTTTTTTTTTTTTTTGTTGTCATTTAGCAGACGCTCTTATCCAGAGCAACTTACAGGAGCAATTAGGGTTAAGTGCCTTGCTCAAGGGCACATAGACAGATTTTTCACCTAGTCGGCTCCGGGATTAGAACCAGCGACCTTTCGGTTACTGGCACAACGCTCTTAACCACTAAGCTACCTGCCGCCCCCATCTCTACTGGTAGCTGGCAGACTGCTATCTTTATTGTTGGATAACAACTAATAACCCTCCCCTTCCTCTCTCTCCCTCACGCTTTCTCTCATTCCATCCCCCAGAAACATCAAAGTCCTGCTTTTTCCAGGAAATTCCCAGTTTATTCTGACTAAAAGCTACAATAACAGAGGGAAAGAGGGAAACACTCTGGTCTGTTGTGCCCTGAGAGAGAAGAGGAGAGGAGAAGGAGAGGAAGATGGTGGGAACAGAGAGGTGGAGGAGAGGAGGAGGAGAAGGAGAGGAGGGGGAGAGGAGGAGAGGAGGAGACAAGTAGAGGAGGCGAGGAGAAGGAGAGGAGGAGGGGAGAAGGAGAGGAGAGGAGAGGAGGAGGAGAGGAGGAGAGGAGAAGGAGTGGAGGAGGAGAGGAGGAGAGAAGGAGAGAAGGAGAGGAGGAGGAGGAGGAGGAGAGAAGGAGGAGAGGAGAAGAGGAGGAGGAGAGAAGAGGAGGAGGAGGAGTGAGGAGGAGGAGGAGGAGGAATGAGGAGGAGGAGGAGGAGTGAGGAGGAGGAGAGAAGAAGAGGAGGAGTGAGGAGGAGGAGAGAGGAGGATGGTGAACGGAGAGAGAAAAAATAAAGACTACGCCACAGAGAGATCATGTGATCAAAGTATCACTTCCTGAAAATAAAGAAAGAAAAAAAGAGAGAGAGACTGAAGACCCTGACCTCTTAAAGAGCAAGGAAAACATTACAATCTCTGCTTTTAATTCCTCAGATCAGTTAATGATGGGAACATGAACATTGCCCTTAGAGGAGAGGCTCAGTTGACTTAGAAAATAACCTGCAGCAGAAACTTTTATTTGTTTTCTTTATATTATATATTGGTGTTGTTGTTTCTTTAGTATATCAACCCTAAAGTCGTAGTTCTATCTATTTAATGTTTATTTTGTACCTAGTCAGGTCAGGGATTCGAACCAGAAATATTTTGGTTATTTTGGTTACTGGCCCAATGCTATTAACCGCTAGGCTTCTGCCGCCTCTGTTCTGTTCTGTTCTGCTCTGCTCTGTTCTGTTCTGAAGTCATGGTACTGATGAGGAAAATGTCTTAATCAAATTAGCATTTTATATCAACCACCCAACTTCCTTTTTGATATAACTCCCATTGGCTTCCTTGAACAGCAACAAATTAGATTTATTTTAGTTAAGTAACCAAAGCAGTCTGATTTCACTGCTAATGAAAAGCTAACAGGCTAACATATCACACCACTTCAATGGAGATCTCATGTCTTTGAGCTAGCAGCTGATCCACTCTATAGGTTTCATTAGAGGAACAGCATCTGTTCAGCTGTTTCTTTTAGGTGTGTGTGTGTGTGTGTGTGTGTGTGTGTGTGTGTGGGCGTGTGTTGTGTGTGTGTGTGTGTGTGTGTGGGCGTGTGTATGTGTTGGTGTGTGTGTGTGTGTGGTGTATGTGTGTGTGTGTGTGTTGGCGTGTGTGTGTGTGTGTGTGTGTGTGTGTGTGTGTATGTGTGTGTGTGTGTGTGTGTGTGTGTTGTGTGTGTGTGTGTGTGTGTGTGTGTGTGTGTGTGTGTTGTGTGTGTGTGTGTGTTGTGTGTGTGTGTGTGTATGTGTGTGTTGTCGTTATTAGTTTTACCAGACTTGGTCTGTCTAATCATAAGCAGCATGTTTCCCATAGCACAGCAGACCAGACCTCAACACCCCCCAAACCACCAGCGGAAACCTTCTTTCTGGTAGCAGCTCCCAGTCCCACAGTTATAAAACAAACCACTTCATCTGTATAGAATTGAGTTGTGAATTAAAAATGTTTCTCTTCATCTAGTGTTGGTTAATATCATAAACTACTGTGTCTTAGACTGGCGCCTCGTGATTTTTCTGTAGGGGTTAGTATGATGGGGGCGGCAGGTAGCTTAGTGGTTAAGAGCGTTGTGCCAGCAACCGAAAGGTCTCTGTAAGTCCCTCTGGATAAGAGCGTCCGCTAAATGACTAAAATGTCAAATGTAAAATGGTGATGTTCTAAGAGTCTAACGGCATCCCAAATGGCGCCCTATTCCGTTTGGACCTAATGGATCCTGGTCAAAGGTAGTAAACAGTTTACTCCATGTGGTACAAACACTGGAAAACGCTATATAAAAACACGAGTTGATTAAATTGGTTTCCAATTAAATCCTGCGTTTGTTGTTTAAATTAATTTGTTTTATTGACATCTTGTTATTTTATTTGAAAGCACATTTATGTCTATTTTAACTTCTATTTGAAGAAATTGTGAAATATTTACAGAATGTGCAGCTAAATTAATAAATATAAATTGAATTTGAACACACACACACTGTCACGCCCTGGCTCTGGGACTCTGTTATGTTGAGCCAGGGTGTGTGGTTTCTATGTGTTTTGTGTGCTAGGGTGATTATCTAGTTAATTTGTTTCTATGTTGGCCGGTGTGGTTCTCAATCAGAGGCAACGTTTATCAGCTGTTGCTCGTTGTCTCTGATTGGGAACCATACTTAGGCAGCCTGTTTTCCACAGTGTGTTGTGGGATCTTGTTCCGTGTTTGGTTAGTGTCTATTGCCAAGGACGTCACGTATCGTTTTGTTGTTTTGTTGTTTTGTTCGTGTGATCATTAAAAAATAAAAGTATGTTCGCATTCCACGCTGCGCCTTGGTCCTCTGTGTTCGACGATCGTGACAGAAGATCCCACCATAACTGGACCAAGCAGCGTGTCCAGGAGCCAACGCCAGAGGTGACTCTGATGGATGTCCACTTCGACTGGGTCAAGCAGCGTGTCCAGGAGCCAACGCCAGAGAGGGCTCTAAAGGATATCAACCTCGACTGGGTCAAGCCGCGGGAGGAGGAGAGAGGCTGGACTTGGGAGCAGAGGAGCGAGAGTCTGGCGAGAGCCATGGAGGCCTGGCCCACGGGGAGGAGAGACGCCCAGAAATTTTTTAGGGGGGGGGGCTCACGCCGTGGACGACGGGGCAGCAGGAGGCCGGGATAGAGTGGTTCAGCGGGTTGGCAAAGGAGGCCGCCAGGTTACGGGAGTCACTGGTCACCAGGGGGAAGGAGAATGTAGAGGCACGGCGAGAGGTACTGGGGTGTGTTGCCAGTCCGGTCCGGCCCGTTCCTGATCCCCGCGTAGGGCCAGTGGTGTGTGTCCCCAGTACGGTCCGGCTTGTTCCTGTCCCTCGCACCGAGGCTGTGGTGCGCGTCGCCAGCCCGGTCCAGCATGTTCCTGCCCCTCGCACCAAGCCTGTGGTGCGCGTCGTCAGCCCGGTTCGGCCCGTCCCTGCTCCCCGCACCAAGCCTGTGGTGCGCGTCGTCAGTCCGGCACAGCCCATGCCTGTTCCACCGGTGCCTGGTCCGGCACCGGTCAGCTGCTCCATTCCGGAGCAAGAGCAATCCTCTCCACCAGTGTTCAGTCCAGCTCCGGCCAGCAGGGCCAGACCGGACCAGGGGCGCAACGGGGGGTTTGTTGGAGGGTGGGGGTCAAGCCCGGAGCCGGAACCGCCTCCGAGGAGGAATGCCCACCCGGCCCTCCCCTGTTCGGTTTATGTTTGGCGCGGTCGCAGTCCGCGCCTTTGGGGGGGGGTACTGTCACGCCCTGGCTCTGGGACTCTGTTATGTTGAGCCAGGGTGTGTGGTTTCTATGTGTTTTGTGTGCTAGGGTGATTATCTAGTTTATTTGTTTCTATGTTGGCCGGTGTGGTTCTCAATCAGAGGCAACGTTTATCAGCTGTTGCTTGTTGTCTCTGATTGGGAACCATACTTAGGCAGCCTGTTTTCCACAGTGTGTTGTGGGATCTTGTTCCGTGTTTGGTTAGTGTCTATTGCCAAGGACGTCACGTATCGTTTTGTTGTTTTGTTCGTGTGATCATTAAAAAATAAAAGTATGTTCGCATTCCACGCTGCGCCTTGGTCCTCTGTGTTCGACGATCGTGACACACACACACACACACACATACACACACACATACAATGAGTGAGAGAGAGCAAAAGAGAAAGAAAGAGAGTGTGAGAGAGAGGCAGACAGACAGAGGCAGACAGAGTTCCCCCAAAATAGAGTAGTCTGTCATAAACACACTACCCTCTCCCACCCTCCTCCCAGGTCCCATGGGTCAACGTTTTCATTTTGGAGCCTTTCTATGTGATTGGAAAAAAAATAAAAAATCATGAAGCGAGTAGGAGGCAGTTCAACAGTGTTCAGCAGTATTGGAACGAAGCCGAGATGTCGACACAGAGGATAGAATAGACGCCGGAAGGGAGCAATGAAGAGGTAATTGTGGACTGTGAGGTCGAGGATAGAATGTGGTCCTCTGTAGCTCAGCTGGTAGAGCATGGCGCTTGTAACGCCAGGGTAGTGGGTTCGATCCCCGGGTGTCACGCCCTGGCTCTGGGGACTCTAGTATGTTGAGCCAGGGTGTGAGTTTTCATTTGTGTTTGTTCTAGTTGTTGTATTTCTATGTTGGCCAGGGTGGCTCCCAATCAGAGACGGCTGTAGCTCGTTGTCTCTGATTGGGAGCCATACTTAAGTAGCCGTTAGGCATTCATTTGGTGTGGTTTCTTGTTCCGTGTTGGTTGTGAATTAACCAGGGACGTCACGTTTTCGTTTTGTTGTTTTGTTCGTGTGATCATTCAAATTAAATAAATATGTTCGCATTCCACGCTGCGCCTTGGTCCTCCTCTGTTCCCGACGATCGTGACACCGGGACCACCCATACGTAAAAATGTATGCACACATGACTGTAAGTCGCTTTGGATAAAAGCGTCTGCTAAACGGCATATTATTATTATTATTATATTATATTAGAATAGACGCCGGAAGGGAAAGGAGGGGGGGGAAAAGGGGGCCGAGGGGGGAGGAAAAAGGGGGGAAAGAAATTTGGGTTATTTCTTAAAAAAATCGGGGAGGGGAAAGGGGGAATTGAAGGGGGGAAAGGGGAAAAGAAGGGTCTAAAAAGGGGGAAAAAAGGAAAGGGGAACGAAGACAAACCAAAAGGGGGTGAAAGGGGAGCGGGTTTTGGGGGGGTTAAAGAAGGGGGTTGGGGGGGGGGGAAAGGGGGCCCTTAGGGGGGGGGGGAAGGGGAAAAAGGGGAAGAAAATTGGGGGGGGGAAGTATGGGAAGGTTTGGTGGGGGTTGGTAAAGGGAAAAGGGGGGGGGTAGGTGGGGTAAAGAAATCGGGGGGGAATTTGGTAAAAGTATCGGAGGGGGTGGGTGTGGGGGAAGTACGGGAGGTGGTAGGTGTGGTAAAAGAAATCGGGGGTGGTGGTGGGGGGGGGTTGGGGGGAATTTAAATCGGAGGGAAGGTGGGTGAAGTATCGGAGGTTTGGTGGGGGTTGGGGTTTGAAGTAGGAGGGGGGTTTTGTGGGGAAGTATCGGGGTGGAAAGGTGGGGGTGAATTTCGGGGGGTGGAAGGTGGGGGTAAAGCCCGGAAGGTGGTAGGTGGGGGGAAAAGTATAGGTTTTGGGGGTTGGGGGGGGAAAGTATGGGGAGGCCCCGGGGTTGGGGGGGGGTTAGGGGGGAAGTTCGGAGGGGGGGTTTAGGTGTGGGGGAGAAAGGGCGGAGGGGGTATTTTTGGGGTGAAGAAATTCGGAGGTTTTTGGGTTTTGGGTTTAAGTAGGGGGGGGGTTTAAGGTGGGGTTGAAATTATTCGGAGGGTAGGTTGGGTGGGAAGAAAATTTTTCCCCGGGGGGTGGTTTTGGGGAAAAAATACCCCGGGGTTTGGTGGGGGGGGGAAAGGGTTTAATTTCGGGGGTGGAGGTGGGGAAAGGGAAGGATGGTGGGGTGGTACCCCCCGGGTGGGGGGGGGAAAGGGGGGAGGGGGAATTCCCGGGTGGGGTTTTGGGTAAGATTGGGGGTTTGGAGGGGGGGGAAGTATCGGGGGGGGGGGTAGGGGGGGGGAAAGTTTTGGGGGGGGAAAAGGTGTGGTAAGGATCGGAAGGGGGTAGGTTGTGGATGAATTTCGGAGTGGTAGGTGTGGTAGTACCGGGGGTGGTGGGTGTGGTGAAGAAATGGGAGGTGGTCGGTTGTTTTTATTCGGGGGGTTAGGTTGGGGGGAAAGTATCGGGGGGTGGTAGGTAATGTGGTGAAGTTTGGGGGGGTTGGTTGGGGTTAAGTAAAAGGGGGTGGTGGGTTGGGGTTGAAGTATCGGGGGTTTGGAAAAGTTTTGGTTTGACTTAGGGAGGTGGAAGGTTTGGGAATTATCGGGGGTTGGGTTTTGGTTTGAAGTACGGAGGTGGTGGGTTGTGGGGGGTTACGGAGGTGGTAGGGGGGTGAATTTTTTGGAGGTGGAGGGGGTGGGGGGGGAAGTATGAGGTGGTGGGGTTGGGGTGAAATTATCGGGGGGGTAGGTGGGTTTAAAGTATCGGAGGGTGGGTGTGGTAAAGTTCGGAGGTGTGGTGGGGTTTGAAGTATCGGAGGTGGTGGGTTGTGGTGAAGTATCGGGGGTGGTAGGGTTGGTAAAGTTTTGGAGGGGGGTAGGTGGGGTGAAGTTCGGGGGGAAGGGTTTGGTAAAGTAGGGAGGTGGGAAAGGGGGGTGGTAAAGTATGGGAGGTGGTAGGTTTGGTTTGAATTACGGGGGTGGTAGGTGTGGTGAAGTTTCAAAAGGTGGGGGGGGCGGGGGTTAAGTTTGGGGGGGGGTGTGTGGTAAAAGTATGGGTTTTTTTTGGTTAGGGGGGGAAAAAGTTTCGGAGGTTTTGTGTGGTGAAGATGGGAGGTTTGGTAGGTGGGGTTTAAAAGGATGGGAGGGGGTTTAGGTGTGGGGGGAAGTATCGGGGGTGGTAGGTTTTGGTAAGTATTGGAGGGGGAAAGGTGTTTTTGGAAGAAAGGGGGTTGGTGGGTTTGGGGTAAGTATCGGGGGTGGAGTGTGGTAAAAGTATCGGGGGGGGTTTGGGGGGTGTGGGGGAAGATCGGAGGGGGTGGGGGTTTTGGGAAGAAATCGGGGGTGGAAAGGTGTGGGGGGGAAGTTCGGGGGTGGTGGGTTGTGGTGAAGTATCGGGGGTGGTGGTTGGGGGTTGAAGTAGGGAGGGGGTAGGTGTGGGGGAAGTAGGGGGTGGGGGTTGGGGTGGCCCATTTTGGTGGTTGTGGGGGTTGTGAATTATCGGGGTTGGAAGGTGTGGTTAAGTATGGGAAAAGGGTGGTAGGTTTTGGGGGTAGGAAAGGGGGAAAGGGGGGGGGGGTTTAAAATTTTTTCAGGGGGGGGTGGTGGGGTGGTGTGAAAAATGGGAATTGGTAGGTGGGGTTTTTAAGTATCGGGGGGGGGATAGGTTGGTGAAGTATCGGGGGTGGTAGGTGGGGGTGAAGTACGGAGGTGGTAGGTGGGTGAAGTATGGGAGGTGGTGGGTGGGGGGTTTTTGGGGGTTTGGGAGGGGGGTTTGGTGAAGTATGGCCCCTTGGGGTTTGGGGGGGGGAAAGGATGGAGGGGTGGGTGGTTTTGGTGGGGAATGGGGGGTGGTATTTTGGGGGTGAAGTATGGAGGGGGTTTAGGTTTGGTAAAGTTCGGAGGTTGGGAAGGGGGTGTGGTGAAGTATGGGAAAGGTGGGGGGTTTTTGGTGGGGGATGGGAAGGTGGTGGGGTGGGGTAAAGGGTATCGGAGGGGTAGGTTGGGTGAATTTCGGATTTTGGAGGTGGTTGGGTAAAAGAAATGGGGGGTGGATTTGGGGTGAAGTATCGGAGGTGGAAAGGTGGGGTTTTGAAGTATCGGAGGTGGTAGGTGTGGTGAAGTGCCCCGGAGGGGGTGGGGGGTGAATTTAAGGGGGGGGGTAGGTGTGGTGAAAAAATGGGTAGGTGGTATGGTGGTGAAGTATGGGGGGGGGTGGTAGGGGGGGGGGTTGGGGGGGGGGGAAGGGGTGTTGTGAATTGGGTTGGGTGGTAGGTGTTGTGAAGTATCGGAGGTTTTTTGTTTTGGTAAAGGATCGGAGGTGGTAGGTTGGTGAAGTATGGGAAGGGGAAAGGTTGGTAAAGAAAGGAGGGGTTTAGGTTTTGGTGGGGTACGGAGGGGGGAAAAGGTTTGGGGTTTTGAAGTATCGGGGGTGGGGGTGTGGTGAAATCGGAGGTGGGGGGGGGGATGTGGGGGGAAGTTAAAAGGTGGTGGGGTTTTGGGGGAAGGGAGGGGGGGGGGGTAGGTTGGGGAAAAAGGAGGGGGGAAGGGTTTTGGAAGTTAAGAGGTGGTATTGGGGTGAAGTTTTTGGAGGTGGTGGGTTGGTGAAATTTCCCGGGGGGGTTGGAAAGGTGTGGTGAAGAAAATCGGGGGGTGGTAGGGGGGGGTAAAGTATCGGGGGTTGGAAGGGGGGGGGTTTTAAATATCGGAGGGGGTAGGTTTTTGGTAAGTATCGGGGGTGGGGGTTTGGGGGGAAGTATCGGAGGTGGTAGGTGTGGTAAAGGGATCGGGGGTTTGGTAGGTGGGGTGAAGTAGGGAAAGGGGGTTAGGTTGGTGAAGTATCGGAGGTGGTTGGTTGGGGGTGAAGTATCGGGGGGGTTTAGGGGGGGTAAAAGTATCGGAGGGGGTAGGTGTGGTGAAGTGATCCGGGGGGTGGTGGCTATGTGTTTGGGGGAAGTTGGGCTCGGAGGTGGTGGTGGTGGTGATATCGGGGGTGTAGGTGTGGTGAGTTATCGATGTGGTATGTGGTGGGTAAGTTATCGGTGGTGGTAGGTGGGGTGAAAGTATCGGGGGTTGGAAAGGTTTGTGGTGGACGTATCGGAGGGGTAGGTGTGGGTGAAGTATCGGGGTGGGAAGGTGTGGTGAAGTATCGGAGGTGGTAGGTGTGGTGAAGTACTCGGAGCCAGAGGCTTGCACAGAGGGTCAGGATGAAAATGAGTCTGTGACAGTAGGAGTGAAGTTTGTGGAAAAAGTGGACCCTTGCCTTTTGGCTGATCCATTTGTGGTTTCAGGGTGGGTGAAAACAGAGTTGGGTGCTGTGGAATCGGTGAGGGTAACCAGAAGTGGTCTAGTGATAATTGTTTGTGTTTCTGTTGGGCAGAGGGACAAAGCGCTTACATTTACATTTTAGTCATTTAGCAGACGCTCTTATCCAGAGCGACTTACAGTTAGTGAGTGCATACATTATTTTTACATACTGGCCCCCCGTGGGAATCAAACCCACAACCCTGGCGTTGCAAACGCCATGCTCTACCAACTGAGCTACATCCCTGCCGGCCATTCCCTCCCCTACCCTGGACGACGCTGGGCCAATTGTGCGCCCTGCCCCATGGGTCTCCCGGTCACTGCCGGCTACGACAGAGCCTGGATTCGAACCAGGATCTCTAGAGTTAAACAAATGGGGGAAAGAATTGTGAATTGTTTCGCTCTCAAGAAAAGGGCGCCATTGAGAGGAGTGATTACTGGGGTAGCAGTAAATGTAAAAGTGGATCAACTGAAGGAGAAGATTCCCGGTGTGTGATGCTCGTCATTTGGTGCGACGTAAACAGGGTGGCGATAGTGGGGAAACAGGAAGAGTCATTGTCTGTTCTTTTGAGTTTTGAAGTTGAGTCTTTGCCTGATAAAGTGAAGTTAGGATATATAAGTTATCCTGTATGAGCTTATGTGCCGAGTACGTTGCGATGTTACAGGTCTCAAACTTATGGGCATGTGGCAGCAGTGTGTAGGAGGGAGATTCCAAGGTGTGAGAAGTGTGCAGAAGGGCATGAGACTAAGGAGTGTGAAGCAGTTGGGGAAAGTGGTGGTATGTGTTAATTGTAGGGGTGGCCATGGGGCTGGGGATCAGACATGTCCAGTGCGAGAGAAGCAGGTTGAGGTTTCCAGGGTTAGAGTAGTGCAGAAGTTGTCATATGCTGAGGCAGTGAAGAAATTAAAGGAAGAGGAGTCAAGGAGGGGAGTGATGAGAGTAGGAGATACAGTGGGGGAAAAAAGTATTTAGTCAGCCACCAATTGTGCAAGTTCTCCCACTTAAAAAGATGAGAGAGGCCTGTAATGTTCATCATAGGTACACGTCAACTATGACAGACAAAATGAGAATTTTTTTTCTCAGAAAATCACATTGTAGGATTTTTAATGAATTTATTTGCAAATTATGGTGGATTTGGTCAATAACAAAAGTTTCTCAATACTTTGTTATATACCCTTTGTTGGCAATGACACAGGTCAAACGTTTTCTGTAATTCTTCACAAGGTTTTCAAACACTGTTGCTGGTATTTTGGCCCATTCCTCCATGCAGATCTCCTCTAGAGCAGTGGTGTTTTGGGGCTGTCGCTGGGCAACACGGACTTTCAACTCCCTCCAAAGATTTTCTATGGGGTTGAGATCTGGAGACTGGCTAGGCCACTCCAGGACCTTGAAATGCTTCTTACGAAGTCACTCCTTCGTTGCCCGGGCGGTGTGTTTGGGATCATTGTCATGCTGAAAGACCCAGCCACGTTTCATCTTCAATGCCCTTGCTGATGGAAGGAGGTTTTCACTCAAAATCTCACGATACATGGACCCATTAATTCTTTCCTTTACACGGATCAGTCGTCCTGGTCCCTTTGCAGAAAAACAGCCCCAAAGCATGATGTTTCCACCCCCATGCTTCACAGTAGGTATGGTGTTCTTTGGATGCAACTCAGCATTCTTTGTCCTCCAAACACGACGAGTTGAGTTTTTACCAAAAAGTTATATTTTGGTTTCATCTGACCATATGACATTCTCCCAATCCTCTTCTGGATCATCCAAATGCACACTAGCAAACTTCAGACGGGCCTGGACATGTACTGGCTTAAGCAGGGGGACACGTCTGGCACTGCAGGATTTGAGTCCCTGGTGGCGTAGTGTGTTACTGATGGTACGCTTTGTTACTTTGGTCCCAGCTCTCTGCAGGTCATTCACTAGGTCCCCCCGTGTGGTTCTGGGATTTTTGCTCACCGTTCTTGTGATCATTTTGACCCCACGGGGTGAGATCTTGCGTGGAGCCCCAGATCGAGGGAGATTATCAGTGGTCTTGTATGTCTTCCATTTCCTAATAATTGTTCCCACAGTTGATTTCTTCAAACCAAGCTGCTTACCTATTGCAGATTCAGTCTTCCCAGCCTGGTGCAGGTCTACAATTTTGTTTCTGGTGTCCTTTGACAGCTCTTTGGTCTTGGCCATAGTGGAGTTTGGAGTGTGACTGTTTGAGGTTGTGGACAGGTGTCTTTTATACTGATAACAAGTTCAAACAGGTGCCATTAATACAGGTAACGAGTGGAGGACAGAGGAGCCTCTTAAAGAAGAAGTTACAGGTCTGTGAGAGCCAGAAATCTTGCTTGTTTGTAGGTGACCAAATACTTATTTTCCACCATAATTTGCAAATAAATTCATTAAAAATCCTACAATGTGATTTTCTGGAGAAAAAAAATCTCAATTTGTCTGTCATAGTTGACGTGTACCTATGATGAAAATTACAGGCCTCTCTCATCTTTTTAAGTGGGAGAACTTGCACAATTGGTGGCTGACTAAATACTTTTTTCCCCCACTGTATGTACCAGTACAGTGGGATAGGCAAGCAAGTGATATATGTTTCAGTAAGATTGTTTTTTTTTAGCGTTTATAGCTACGGTTATTAATTGTACTGCAGGGATGAAAAGCAAATCGAAGAAAATTGAGGTTGTGGTGGCAGCTGCAGAGAGATATTTGGGTGTGCGAGACCTGACAGCAGTTGGTAGAGCATGGCGCTTGCAACGCCAGGGTTGTGGGTTCGATTCCCACGGGGGGCCAGTATGAAAAATGTATGCACTCACTAACTGTAAGTCGCTCTGGATAAGAGCGTCTGCTAAATGACTAAAATGTAAATGTTACAGGGAGTGTTAAGTGGTGATGCCCCATCATTTCAGGTTGAGGGTATGAGGTAGGAGTGAGTATATTTAAATAGTGGAGAAGGGTGGGGTTAATTATTAGTAGTAGGTTTGAAGTTGTGAGTGTAGATGGTAGGATATTTTTTTGCTTTGTTTTATTTTAATTTTCAAGAAAAGATAAGGGAGTTGTACTCCAGTCTAGTAGGTGGCGGTAATGCAACAAATTGGATGCCAACCGCCATTAAACCTCATTGAAGAAGAAGAAGAAGAAGAAGAAGAAGCAGGAACGAGGCCGAAAGTGTAGAACTGTCCTTGCGTGCCCGGAAGTGTTGCTATAGCGACTGCCTCGGCTGGTCGCTTGACAAACACACAGAGAAACACAGGCTTGATCATAACTTTTGAAAAGTGTCCCAAACTACTTTACAACATCGTTGACAGCTTAGGTTTCAAGGCCGACTTATAATGCAAAAACGGTCTAATTTCAAATAGATAATTGATTGGATAAATCACGTTTTCATACTTTGGCAAATTAACTTGAGAGGATGAGTGCAGCATTCCCACCGCGGCAAAAAGTGACCTTCCTACCAGACATCAACAAACTGGAGAAACGCTCACCTGCCCAAGAGCTGACCAGTCCATGGTCCAGGTGGGTCGATATAAGAATGAAACCTTTTATTTATTTATTTGTCTCGTGTTTGTACCCTCAAATACACAAGTAGGCCTAACTATAATAAAACAATAAAGAGTCGCAGCTAAAGTTTGATGCTTGCTGTAATCGATATAGCCTCGGTGGCCGTCAGAGCAGATCTAGCGGCCACTATTGGCAGAGCGGTCAGCTGCCATAAACTAGGTGGTTCGAGCCCTGAATGCTGATTGGCTGACAGTCGTGGTATATCAGACCAAATACCACGGGTATGACCCCAAAAAATATTTTTACTGCTCTAATTTCGTTGGTAACCAGTTTATAGGCTCCGGGAGACCCATGGGGCGGCGCATAATTGGCCCAGCATCGTCCAGGGTAGGGGAGGGAATGGCAGGCAGGGATGTAGCTCAGTTGGTAGAGCATGGCGTTTGCAACGCCAGGGTTGTGGTTCAATTCCCACGGGGGGCCAGTATGAAAAATAAAATAATGTATGCACTCACTAACTGTAAGTCGCTTTGGATAAGAGCGTCTGCTAAAATGACTACAATGTAAAGCACCTCCAGGGTTTGTGAAATATGGCCAACATACCACGGCTAAGGGCTGTGCCCAGGCACTCCGCTTCAGAACAGCCCTTCGCCGTGGTACAGTATATTGACCATATACCACACCTCCTCAGTGCTTCATTGCACTCGTGACCACTAGAAGGTACGCACACACCTTTACATTTACATTTTAGTCATTTAACAGACGCTCTTATCCGGAGCGACTTACAGTTTTTAGTGAGTGCATACATTTTTCATACTGGCCCCCCCCCGTGGGAATCGAACCCACAACCCTGGTGTCGCAAACGCCATGCTCTACCAACTTAGCTACACGGGGGGGGGGGGGGGGCAACATGGGGGGTCTAACATGGCTACAGCTACTCCATTCATAGATGCTAACTGCTTTAGTGCCTCCCGAGTGGCGCAGTGGTCTAAGGCACTGCATCGCAGTGCTAGCTGTGCCACTAGAGATCCTGGTTCGATTCCAGGCTCTGTCGTAGCCGGCCGCGACCGGGAGAACCATGGGGCGGCGCACAATTGGTCCAGGGTAGGGGAGGGAATGGCCGGCAAGGACGTAGCTCAGTTGGTAGAGCATGGCGTTTACAACGCCAGGGTTGTGGGTTCGATTCCCATGGGGGGCCAGTATTATTATTATTATTTAGTTTAGTAGGATGGAGGCTCCATAGCTGTATGGATCTGTAACTGCTACAGTGGAGTTTAGTAGGATGGAGGCCCCATAGCTGTATGGATCTGTAACTGCTACAGTGTAGTTTAGTAGGATGGAGGCCCCATAGCTGTATGGATCTGTAACTGCTACAGTGTAGTTTAGTAGGATGGAGGCCCCATAGCTGTATGGTCTGTAACTGCTACAGTGTTGGAGTTTTAGTAGGGGAATTGAGGGGAGGCCCCATAGCTGTATGGATCTGTAACTGCTACAGTGTAGTTTAGTAGGATGGAGGCCCCATAGCTGTATGGATCTGTAACTGCTACAGTGTAGTTTAGTAGGATGGAGGCACCATAGCTGTATGGATCTGTAACTGCTACAGTGTAGTTTAGTAGGATGGAGGCACCATAGCTGTATGGATCTGTAACTGCTACAGTGTAGTTTAGTAGGATGGAGGCCCCATGCTGTATGGATCTGTAACTGCTACAGTTAGTTTAGTAGGATGGAGGCTCCATAGCTGTGTATGGAATCTGTAAAACTGCTACAGTTGTAAGTTTAGGTAGGATGGAGGCCACATGAGCTGTATGGATCGTTTAACTCGTACAGTGTAGTTATAGTAGGGATGGAGGCCCCATAGCTGTATGGATCTGTAAAATGCTACAGTGTAGTTTAGTAGAGATGCCAGGTCACCATACGCTGTATGAGATCTGTAACTGCTACAGTTGAGTTTAGTAGGATGGAGGCCCCATAGCTGTATGGATCTGTAATTGCTTCAGTGTAGTTTTTAGTAGAGATGGAGGATCCATAGCTGTATGGATCTGTAAACCTGCTACAGTTGTCGGTTTAGTAGGATGTGAGGACCCCATAGCCTGATGGATCTGTAACGACTACAGTGTAGGTTAGTAGGATGGAGGCACCATAGCTGGTAGGGATCTGTAACTGCTACAGGTGTAGTTTTAGTAGGATGGAGGGCCCCATAGTGTATGTACTGTAATGGCTACAGTGTAGTTTAGTAGCATGGCGGCACCATAGCTGTATGGATCTGTAACTGTACAGTGTAGTTTTGTAGTTAGTAGGAGGAGGCACCATAGCTGTAGGATCTGTAACTGCAGTTGTAGTTTATTAGGAGGAGGCCCCCAGAGCTGTATGGTCTGTAAACTGCACAGGTAGTTTAGTAGGAGGAGGACCCCTAGCTTATGGATCTGGTAACTGCTACAGTGTAGTTTAGTAGGAGGAGGGCCCCATAGCTGATGGATCTGTAACTGCAGTGTAGGGTTTTTTTAGTAGGATGGAGGGCCCATAGTGTAGGATTCTGTAAACTGCAGTGAGTTTAGAGGATGGAGGCTCCATATCTGTAGGGATCGTAACTGCTACAGTGTTAGTATTAGTGGATGGAGGGCCCCCTAGCTGATGGATCTGAACTGATACAGTGTGAGTTTAGTAGGATGGAAGGCACCATAGCTGTATGGATCTGAAAGCTACAGTGTAGTTTAGTAGGATGGGCCCATAAGATGTATGGATCTGTAAATGCCAGTGTAGTTTGTAGGGATGGAGGCTCCATAGGTGTATGGATCTGTAACGCTACAGTGTAGTTGAGTAGGATGGAGGCCCCATAGCTGTAGGATCGTAAAAACGGCTACAGTGTAGTTAGTAGGATGGAGGCCCCATAGCTGTAGGATCTGTAAAGCTACGTGGTTTGTTATTTTAGAAGGATGGAGGCCCCCATAGCGTATGGATCTGTAACGCTACAGGTAGTTTAGTAGGATTGGAGGGCCCATAGCTGTATGGATCTGTAACTGCTACAGTGTAGTTTGTAGGAGGAGGCCCCATAGCTGTATGGATCTAATGACCTACAGTTGTAGTTTAGAAGGATGGAGGATCAATAGTGTAGGATCTGTAACTGCTACAGTTGTATAGTTAGTGTTTAGTAGGACTGGAGAGCCCCATAGCTGTAGGGATCTTAACTGCTACAGTTGTAGTTTAGTAGGATGGAGGCCCCATAGTGTATGGATCTGTACTGCTCCAGTGTAGTTTTAGTAGGGATGGAGGGCCCCATAGCTGTATGGATCTGTAACTGATTACAGTGTAGGTTTAGTAGGTTGGAGGGCACCATAGCTGTATGGATCTGTAACTGCTACATGAGTTAGTAGGAATGGGCCCATAGCTGTATGGATCTGTAACTGCTACAGTGTAGTTTAGTAGGATGGAGGCACCATAGCTGTAGGGACTGTACCTGCTACAGGTAGTTAGTAGGATGGAGGCACCATAGCTGTATGGATCTGTTAAAACTTGCAGTGTAGTTGAGTAGATGGAGGCTCCATAGCTGTATGGATCTGTAACTGCTACAGTTGTAGTTTAGTTAGTAGGATGGAGGCACCACAGCTGATGGATCTTTAATGTACAGTGTAGTAGTAGGAAGGGAGGCCCCCATAGCTGTATGGATCTGTAACTGCTACAGTGTAGTGTAGTAGGATGGAGGCCATAGATGTATGGATCTGTAACTGATACAGTGTTGTAGTTAGTCGGATGGCGGCCTCATAGCTGTTGGATCTGTAAACTGCTACAGTGTAGTTTAGTAGGATGGAGGCACCAGAGCTGTATGGATCATTGTAAACTGCTACAGTGTAGTTTAGTAGGATGGAGGCACCATAGCTGTATGGATCTGTAAACTGCGTACAGTTGTAGTTAGTAGGATGGAGGCCCCCTAGCCTGTATGGAGGGTAACTGCTACAGTGTAGTTAGTAGGATGGAGGCCCCATAGCTGTATGGATCTGTAACTGCTACAGTGTAGTTTCAGTTAGGGATGGAGGGCCCATAGCTGTATGGATCGTAACTGCTAAAGTGTAGTAGTCGGATGGAGGCCCCATAGCTGTATGGATCGGTACTGCTTACAGTGTCGGTAGTAGGAGGAGGCACCATAGCTGTATGGATCTGTAACGGCTACAGTGTAGTTTAGTAGGATGGGAGACCCATAAGCGTATGGATCGGGAAACTGCTACAGGTTAGTTTAAGTAGGATGGAGGGCACCCAAGCTGTATTGGATCGTAACTGCTACAGTGTAGTTGAGAGGATGGAGGCTACATAGCGTAATGGATCTGTAACTGCTACAGTTGTAGGTTAGTAGGATGGGAGGGCCCCCGAGCTGTTATGGATCTGTAACTGCGACAGTGAGTTGTAGGATGGATGGCTGACACATGCTTGTATGGATCTGTAACTGCAGTGAGTTTAGTTAGATGGAGGCCCCCCAGCTGTAAGGGATCTGTAACTGCAGGTATTTAGTAGGATGGAGGCCTTCAATAGCTGTATGGAATCTGTAACTGCTACAGTGTAGTGAGTAGGATGGAGGGCCCCATAGCTGTATGGATCTGTAACTGCTACAGTGAGTTCGTAGTGATTGGAGGCACCAGCTGTTATGGATCTGAAACTGCCTACAGTGTAGTTTAGGAGGATGGAGGCCCCCCCCCTAGCTGTATGGATCTGTAAAACTGCTCAGGTGTAGTTAGTAGGATGGAGGCCACCATAGCTGTAGATATGTAACTGCATACAGGTGTAGTTAGTAGGATGGAGGCCCATAGCTGTATGGATCTGACTGCTACAGTGTGTAGTTTAGTAGGATGGAGGCCCCATAGCTGTATGGAATCTGTAACTGCTAAGGTAGTTTAGTTAGGATGGAGGCCCCATCGCTGTATGGATCTGTAAATGCTACAGTGTAGTTTAGTAGGATGGTGGCCCCATAGCTGTATGGATTCTGTAATGCTTACAGTGTAGTTAGTAGGATGGCGGGCTCCATAGCTGTAGGGATCTTAACTGCACAGTGTAGTTTAAGTAGGTGGAGGCACCTAGCTGTAGGATCGTAACGCTACAGTGTAGTTAGTAGGGTGGAGGCCCCATCGCGGGATGGATCTGTAACTGCTACAGTGTAGTTAGTAGATGGAGGACCAAGCTGTAGGATCTGAACTGTACAGTGTAGTTAGTCGGAGGAGGGCCCCATCGCTGTATGGATCTGTAACTGCTACAGTGTAGTTTAGTAGGATGGAGGCACATAGCTGTATGGATCTGAAACTGCTACGTGTAGTTTTAGTTTAGTAGGAGGAGGCCCACCATAGATGTATGGATCTGTAACTGCTACAGTGTAGGTTAGTAGGTGGAGGCACCATAGTGTATGGATCTGTAACTGCTACAGTGTAGTGTAGTAGGATGGAGGCCCCCTTAGTTGTGTTTGTTGAAAATTACTTTTATTTTGGTGGACCCCCCCAAAATATTGTTGAGTTTTAAATTTCCCCCCTTTTGTTTTTCTTTGATTTTTTTTTTGGGGGGGTGGGGGGGTTGGTTTCGGGTTGGGTTTTAGGGGAGGGGCCTTTTTGGATTTCTCTCGTGGGGTTGAATGGGGTTTTTTTTAAAGTGTAGTTTTGGTAGGCCCCATACTTTGGTTTAACTACTTGGTTTTTTTGTGGAGGGTTTTTTTGATCAAGTGTAGTTTTTAGGGGATGGAGGCCCCTTTGTTATGGTTTCAAAAAATTTTTTAGAAAATGGACCCTATTTAGAAAAGCTACAGGGTTTATTGGCCCATTAGGACTGAAAATGAAATTTTTTGGGGGGCCCTAGTTTATTTTCTCTCCTGTTTTTTAAATTTAGGAGGGGGCCCAATTTGGTTGAACTGTACAGTGTATTTAAAGGGTGGAGGCCCCGCATGGCTGTATGACTGTATTGTAAGGGGGCCCCTAGCTTAGGCCCAAAATTTTGGTTAGGGGAGGGGCCCTCTGAGGCAAAATGACAGTGTAGTTTTTTAGTGGGGCCCCAATTTTGTAGGAAAAACCGTGTATTTGAAGGGATCAAATTTTTGGGGACCCTTTTTCCCAGTGGGTATGGATGGAGGCCCCAAGGGTTTTCTTTAACCCCCCTTTTTTGAAGGGGGGCTCAAAGTTTTTTTTTAAACCCGGATTTAGTGGAGGGAGGACCAAAAAGGTTGGAGAAGCTAAGTGTATTTTGGTGGGGGGTTTGTGAGGGACAACTGAAAAGGATTTGTAAGGGGGGTTTAGTTATGGGGATCTTTGCTGATGTGTTTTTGGGAGGAGGAAAGTTTTTAATAGTTTGTTTTGAGGGGGGTTTTGAGGGGTTTTGGAAAAAATTTTTGTACTATTTTTAAAAAATTTTTGAATTGGGAAAATTTTAGGGGGAAATTTTTATTTTTTAAAAAAAAAAAATTTTTTTGGGCCCCGGGTTCCCCTTTTTTTTTAAAATTTTTTTCGCTTCCCCTTTTAAAAATGTTTTTGTTTATTAACCAGGAATACCCAAAAGGTAAATTTTTTTAATCAGAAAAGGGGAAAAAGCCAAAAACCAAATAAGGCCACCCCCCCCCCAAGAAATCCCCAATCTTTTTAAATTTTTTAAGTTGGGGTAAATGCCGGGTTTAGTCAATTCATTTTTTTTCACCCAAGGGTCAAAAATGCTGGGTACGGCTTTTTCTTTAACCCCCTGGTTTTTCTTCCAAAAATCCCCCGCTGGTGTCCCCTTCTGGTTGGTCTTTTCCCCCAAATGGTTTTGAAAATTTGGGAAAACCCCCGTCAAATTTTTCGAAATTGCAGTAACGCTACGGTATTTAGTAGATGGAGGCACCATAGCTGTATGGATCTGTAACTGCTACAGTGTAGTTTAGTAGGATGAGGCCCATAGCTGTATGGATCTGTAACTGCTACAGTGTAGTTTAGTAGGATGGAGCACCATAGCTGTATGGATCTGTAACTGCTACAGTGTAGTTTAGTAGGATGGAGGCACCATAGCTGTATGGATCTGTAACTGCTACAGTGTAGTTTAGTAGGATGGAGCCCATAGCTGTATGATCTGTAACTGCTCGTTAGTTTAGTAGGTTTTTTGAGTGGCTCCATAGCTTATGGATCTGTTACTGCTGATGTAGTTTAGAGATGAGCCCCATAGCTTTTTGATACTATGTCTTGTTTTGAGGGGTTTTGACTGATGTCGCGTCTATGCTAACATGGCTCAAATTCGCTAGCTACCTAGCTAGCCAAAAAACTATAATGATGTATTTGAGAGACAACAAGTGCTTATGTGTGCAAATTAATTTATGTTTTTAATAAACATTGTAGACTAAATATAGTCTGTTTTGCCCCATGGTTGTGCACATGTTGGTTTTAAAGTAGTTAGTTGATATTACAGACATTACCCATCTATAATAAAGTAGTTAGTTGATATTATTACACTCAGAGAACTATCTTGACCAATCAAGGCCTACACATGTTTTTAGGATGCAGAAAAGGGGTAAGGAAACTGAACCAACTCAACCTGCAAGAAGCCAGACCCCGACCGTTTCCAAGGATGAAATCGCCCTGTAAGTCAATTCATTTGTTTATTATGTGTGCAGGTCAATTAATGCACTTTGCTGCTCAGCTCAATTCAGTGCAGTTTACATGTTCACCAGTAGAGGTCACCACAAACCAATGCTGGGTGACTGGCTGCTTCTCTTCAACGCCCTGTTGCTCTGTCTGTCCATGAATGCCCCCAGCTAAAGGTAGTGATGGGAAAACAAAGCTTCCTGAAGCATTGAGTCTTTTCAGCCAATTGTGTCAAAACTAGGTTAATTTCTCTGAGCTTCATTATCCGGTTACAGTGCACATTAGTGACATCTGCTGGTCAGCGATAAATAGCAACGTGCGATTAGCAGATAGTTTTTTGTCCTCTACTGATTTTATGAAAACTCCATGGCGCAGCGGTAAACCGTTGGTTTTAATAGCCTATAATCAGTTGGATTGCCAGGTTAGTAGCCTATAATCAGTTGGATTGCCAGGTTAGTAGCCTATAATCAGTTGGGTTGCCAGGTTAGTAGCCTATAATCAGTTGGATTACCAGGTTAGTAGCCTATAATCAGTTGGATTGCCAGGTTAGTAGCCTATAATCAGTGGATTGCCAGGTTAGTAGCCTATAATCAGTTGGATTGCCAGGTTAGTAGCCTATAATCAGTTGGGTTGCCAGGTTAGTAGCCTATAATCAGTTGGATTGCCAGGTTAGTAGCCTATAATCAGTTGGGATTGCCAGGTTAGTAGCCTATAATCAGTTGGATTGCCAGGTTAGTAGCCTATAATCAGTTGGGTTGCCAGGTTAGTAGCCTATAATCAGTTGGATTGCCAGGTTAGTAGCCTATAATCAGTTGGGTTGCCAGGTTAGTAGCCTATAATCAGTTGGATTGCCAGGTTAGTAGCCTATAATCAGTTGGATTGCCAGGTTAGTAGCCTATAATCAGTTGGATTGCCAGGTTAGTAGCCTATAATCAGTTGGATTGCCAGGTTAGTAGCCTATAATCAGTTGGGTTGCCAGGTTAGTAGCCTATAATCAGTTGGGTTGCCAGGTTAGTACTTAATCAGTTGGATTGCCAGGTTAGTAGCCTATAATCAGTTGGATTGCCAGGTTAGTAGCCTATAATCAGTTGGATTGCCAGGTTAGTAGCCTATAATCAGTTGGATTGCCAGGTTAGTAGCCTATAATCAGTTGGATTGCCAGGTTAGTAGCCTATAATCAGTTGGATTGCCAGGTTAGTAGCCTATAATCAGTTGGATTGCCAGGTTAGTAGCCTATAATCAGTTGGATTGCCAGGTTAGTAGCCTATAATCAGTTGGATTGCCAGGTTAGTAGCCTATAATCAGTTGGGTTGCCAGGTTAGTAGCCTATACTCAGTTGGATTGCCAGGTTAGTAGCCTATAATCAGTTGGATTGCCAGGTTAGTAGCCAATAATCAGTTGGATTGCCAGGTTAGTAGCCTAGAATCAGTTGGGTTGCCAGGTTAGTAGCCTATAATCAGTTGGATTGCCAGGTTAGTAGCCTATAATCAGTTGGATTGCCAGGTTAGTAGCCTATAGTCCAGTTGGATTGCCAGGTTAGTAGCCTATAATCAGTTGGATTGCCAGGGTTAGTAGCCTATAATCAGTTGGATTGCCAGGTTAGTAGCCTATAATCAGTTGGGTTGCCAGGTTAGTAGCCTATAATCAGTTGGATTGCCAGGTTAGTAGCCTATAATCAGTTGGATTGCCAGGTTAGTAGCCTATAATCAGTTGGATTGCCAGGTTAGTAGCCTATAATCAGTTGGATTGCCAGGTTAGTAGCCTATAATCAGTTGGATTGCCAGGTTAGTAGCCTATAATCAGTTGGATGCCAGGTTAGTAGCCTATAATCAGTTGGATTGCCAGGTTAGTAGCCTATAATCAGTTGGATTGCCAGTTTAGTAGCCTATAATCAGTTGGATTGCCAGGTTAGTAGCCTATACTCAGTTGGATTGCCAGGTTAGTAGCCTATAATCAGTTGGATTGCCAGGTTAGTAGCCTATAATCAGTTGGATTGCCAGGTTAGTAGCCTATAATCAGTTGGATTGCCAGGGTTAGTAGCCTATAATCAGTTGGATTGCCAGGTTAGTAGCCTATAATCAGTTGGATTGCCAGGTTAGTAGCCATCATAATCAGTTGGATGGCCAGGTTAGTAGCCTATAATCAGTTGGATTGCCAGGTTAGTAGCCTATAATCAGTTGGATTGCCAGGTTAGTAGCCTATAATCAGTTGGATTGCCAGGTTAGTAGCCTATAATCAGTTGGATTGCCAGTTAGTAGCCTATAATCAGTTGGATTGCCAGGTTAGTAGCCTATAATCAGTTGGATTGCCAGGTTAGTAGCCTATAATCAGTTGGATTGCCAGGTTAGTAGCCTATAATCAGTTGGATTGCCAGGTTAGTAGCCTATAATCAGTTGGCTTGCCAGGTTAGTAGCCTATAGTCAGTTTGGATTGCCAGGTTAGTAGCCTATAATCAGTTGGATTGCCAGGTTAGTAGCCTATAATCAGTTGGATTGCCAGGTTAGTAGCCTATAATCAGTTGGATTGCCAGGTTAGTAGCCTATAATCAGTTGGGATTGCCAGGTTAGTAGCCTATAATCAGTTGGATTGCCAGGTTAGTAGCCTATAATCAGTTGGATTGCCAGGTTAGTAGCCTATAATCAGTTGGATTGCCAGGTTAGTAGCCTATAATCAGTTGGATTGCCAGGTTAGTAGCCTATAATCAGTTGGATTGCCAGGTTAGTAGCCTATAATCAGTTGGATTGCCAGGTTAGTAGCCCTATAATCAGTTGGATTGCCAGGTTAGTAGCCTATAATCAGTTGGGTTGCCAGGTTAGTAGCCTATAATCAGTTGGGTTGCCAGGTTAGTAGCCTATAATCAGTTGGGATTGCCAGGTTAGTAGCCTATAATCAGTTGGATTGCCAGGTTAGTAGCCTATAATCAGTTGGATTGCCAGGTTAGTAGCCTAAATTTCAGTGGGATTGCCAGGTTATAGCCTACTATCAGTTGGATTGCCAGGTTAGTAGGCCTATAATCAGTTGGATTGCCAAGGTTAGTAGCCTATAATCAGTTGGATTGCCAGGTTAGTAGCCTATAATCAGTTGGATTGGCCAGGTTAGTAGCCTATAATCAGTTGGATTGCCAGGTTAGTAGCCTATAATCAGTTGGATTGCCAGGTTAGTAGCCTATAATCAGTTGGATTGACAGGTTAGTAGCCTATAATCAGTTGGATGCCAGGTTAGTAGCCTATAATCAGTTGGATTGCCAGGTTAGTAGCCTATAATCAGTTTGGATTGGCCAGGTTAGTAGCCTATAATCAGGTTGGCTTGCCAGGTTAGTAGCCTATAGTCCAGTTGGATGCCCAGGTTAGTAGCCTATAATCAGTTGGATTGCCAGGTTAGTAGCCTATAATCAGTTGGATTGCCAGGTTAGTAGCCTATAATCAGTTGGATTGCCAGGTTAGTAGCCTATAATCAGTTGGATTGCCAGGTTAGTAGCCTATAATCAGTTGGATTACCAGGTTAGTAGCCTATAATCAGTTGGAATACCAACCAGGTTCACATCATGCTTCGTTTCTTTGCCTTCAACTTTGACTATTGTTCTAAAACTGAATCTATGGCATTATTTAGGATTCTCAAGACAGAAGCTTATACTTTACTAAATAAAACTAATTATTTGAACAACGGTGCAGAAAGTCTGGTTTCACATAAAACTATTTTCATAAGAGTGTACCTTCAACGAGATTCGACCACACGTCCCTGAATGTTCCAAAGTTGCCCACTCTACCTGCTAATCTACCTGTCAGGTGTATTTACCTGTAGAAAGTCCTAGATGTATAAGTACGGTATCCAGTGGAGGTCGGTGTTTGAAAGCAGCTTCTTCTACACCTTGTAGAGTCCGACTCAATATTAGGAAGTTGTTCTTAATGGTTTTAGACTCTTAGTTTAGGTTTTCCATCCTCTCTCTCTGTCTGTTTCCAGGTTTCGTAACAGCGTGAGACAGAACGCCTGTGTAGAGATGCTGCGTGGAGGATTCCACAGGTCAGAAACACACGTACACACGCTTCATAACTAATTAAACACATGTATACACGCTTCATAACTAATTACACACACATACACACTTCATAACTAATTACACACATGTATACACGCTTCATAACTAATTACACACATGTACACACTTCATAACTAATTAAACACATGTATACACGCTTCATAACTAATTACACACATACACGCTTCATAACTAATTACACACACGCACACGCTTCATAACTAATTACACACACGTACACGCTTCATAACTAATTACACACACGTACACGCTTCATAACTAATTACACACACGTATACACGCTTCATAACTAATTACACACATACACACTTCATAACTAATTACACACACGTACACGCTTCATAACTAATTACACACATGTACACACTTCATAACTAATTACACACACGCACACGCTTCATAACTAATTACACACACGTACACACTTCATAACTAATTACACCACGGGAAAATACCAAAACCTTTAACTTCCCAAACCCTTCTTTTTTCCCCCAATAAACTTTTTTAAAAAACAAATTTTGGGAATTTTTGGTCCAAAGGAAAAACAAAAAAAAAGGGAAAAAGGTGAGAAATTTTTTCCCAATAAAACAAAAAAGAGGAAAAAAAAATTTTGAAAACCGCCCGAAGGGAAGCAAAATTTTGGGGGGGGAACAGAAAGCCAGAGAAAGTAGGGAAGGGAGGCGGGTTTAAAAGCTTTTTAAAAAGGGTACCGACAAAAGGAAGTTGAAGGAGCCTTTTTTTTTTCCCCCTCTTTCTTTTCCGGTTTCGTACCTCCCGGGGGTTTTTAAGTCTGCGGGGGGTTCCCAAAGGCAAAAAAAGGGAACAGTTAAAAATTAAAACAGATCCGTTCCTGCCACATAAATTTTAAACAACCCCAAAAATTTCAAACTAAAAAACCGAAAACATTAAAATTAATTAAACACACCCCCCAAAAACCTCCCAAAAACCCAACAAACAAAACCCCCCTAAAAATTCAACAGTCCCCTTAAATAATTTACAAACAACGAAAAAACAAATACCCCAAAATAAAACAAATACACATTAAAACTTTCAAAGTACCCCCAAAAATTTTTAAAACCAAAACCCCCCAAATTTAAAATAACACCCGCCAGAAAAAAACCCCCCACGTACACATTTTCCAAAAACCCCCCCCGCCATTTTTTAAAAAACACTTTTTTAAAACCAAAGTCCCCCTTTAACAAAAACAACATCCCCCAAAAAACAAAACACCCGACATTTAAAAAAATAAAAACCAGACAGCTTCAAAAATTAAACACAGATACCCCCAAATTAATTCAACAGACACACTTAAAAATAAAAAAAACCTAAAACCCTTTACCAACTAAACCCCCTTCCCCCTTTCCCCCTCCCTTTTTCCCTTGGGAGGGGAATGGGGGGGGGGGAAAAGGGGGGGGCCCCCCCCGGGGGGGGGGGGCCCCCCCGGAACCCCAAGGGAAACCAACCCCCAAAGAAAAATTTTTCCCCCCCAACCCCTCCCCCCCTTCCCCCCTTTGGGGCCCAAAAACTTCCCTTTCCCCCCTTTTTTTTTTCCCCCCTTCTCCCCCCTCTTCTCTTTCCCCACCCCCTTTTTCCTCTTTCCCTCCCCCTTTCCCAAACCCTTCCCCCCCCTATCTCCTCCTCTTCCCCTTTTTTCCCTTCCTTTTTCCCCCCCCCTTTTCTCCCCTTTCCTCTCTTTCCCTTGTTCTTTTTTCCCCCCCCCTCCCCTTTAACTTCAGGGCCTTTCCCCCGGGGTTTTAAAAAGGGTTAGCTTAACCCCCCAGGGCCTAAAAACAACCCCCAAACCCCCCCACACCAAACCACCCCCCCCCCGGGGGCCCCCCGGGAAAAAACACAAACCCCCCCCGGGGGGCCCCCCCAAGGGTACCCCAAACCCCAACCGGGGCAAGGCCTCAACGGTACCCATTTCCCCTTTTAATCCCTAGGGGCTCTCAACGGTAAAACCCTAAAAACCCCTCCCGGGGGGCAGACGGCTCCCCCTAAAAATCCACCCCTCCTCTGGGCGGTCCCTAAAACCCCCGCCGGGCGGGGACCTCGACAGGTACCCTCAACCTACCAAAAGGGGCGACCCAGCTCCGACAAACTCCCAAAAACCCGCCCGGGGGGCCCCCCCCGATCCAACCCCCTACCACTTACGCCTCAACGACCACAGCCCCTTCCCACTCATTTTCCCCCCTTTAAAACCCCCCACCTAAAAAGGGGGGGCACTCTCGGCCATCCCCCCCACACCCCACACCGGAAAAAGGGGGAAAAACCATCCCGACCCCCGGGGCGGAAAAGACCACTACACATACCTGACCGGGGCTGAGGCAGCTCTCAGACGGACACACTACAAACCCCCTCCCGGGGGCGGGGCCCCGGGGCCCCTACAACAAACCCCGGGGGGAGCCCAAGCCAAAACAAAAACCCGGCACAATTTAAAAAAAACACGGGGACTTTAAAAAATTTAAATAAAAAAAATGGGGAAATTTTTTTGGGGAAATCGAAGTTTTTCCTAAGGGGGGGGTTAAAACCCCGCCCCCTTTTGGGTTTTCCCAGTTTTAAACCCTCTAGGCACCTCCCTGAGATTAAGGGATATTGACAAATTTGTTTTCCTCCAAGGGAGTGGGTTGGGGAAAGCGGGTGGGGCCCCAAATACTTCAAGGCCCCAGGGAACGGGGGTGTCCTGTCACTTTCCAGACCAGCTGACCTCGGCCCCCCCAGGGTCAAGAAGTGGAGGGAGGAAGGAGGGAGGCTTTTGCTAACATGGGAAAGGCTACAGGAGAAGGGGGAATACGATCAGGGGAAAAGGGCCCCATGGGGAAGGTAACCCCTTTTTACCTCTTTCCCCAAAAAGCAAAACCCCCCAAGGGAAAGGGGGGGGGGAAAAAAAAAAAAAACCCCAAAAAAAAAAAAAAAAAAAAAAAAAAAAACCCCCCCCCCAAAAAAAAAAAAAAAACCCCCCCCCTCCCCCCCCCCTCCCCCCCCCCCCCCCCCTCCCCCCCCCCCCCCCCTCCCCCCCTCTCCCCCCCCCCCTCCCTCTTCCCCCCCCTTTTTCTTTCTAGGTAGTTGGGCGTGCCAGGGACAGTATGAGGGTTTTTTTACCGTGAAGCAGGGCGGGCTGGAGCAGGAGGGGGGAGTTCTTTCCCCCGCCGGCGGGGGAGGGTTATGGAGGGTGTCACCAGGGCAGAACACCCCTACAGGCTAAAACTACAAAAGGTTTCCCCCACTGGAAAGGTTCCCGATGGCAAAGGAGGTGGGGGAGACCCTGTGTGGCTTTACAAATAAAAACCCAAACTGTCTCTTCAAACAATATCAACTGCTTACTTTTAACTGTTTTCTTTGGGCTGTCGTCTGTCTGTCTTCGTTGTCTGTTCTCTGGCTCTGTTGTTGTCGTTTGTCTCTTGTGTCTCTTCTGTCTGGGTTTTCTGTCTGTCTGTCGTCTGTCTGCTGTTGTCTGTCTGTCTCTCTGGTCTCCTTTCTCTGTCTGTCTCTCTGTGTTCTCTGTGTCTCTGGTCATGTGTGTCTGTCGTCTGTCTGTGTCTGCTCTAGCTGGAGACCATAGGATCGAGGGGCAGGCGGCCTACCGTGTGGGTCTGGCCTATCAATTTGTAGGAGACCAGGTACCTCTAAATCAGTGGTTCCCAACTCCAGTCCTCCAGTATCCCCAACAGCCCAACTCCAGTCCTTAGTATCCCCAACAGCCCAACTCCAGTCCTCCAGTATCCCCAACAGCCCAACTCCAGTCCTCCAGTATCCCCAAAGCCCCAACTCCAGTCTCCAGTATCCCCAACACCCCAACTCCAGTCCTCAGTACCCCAACACCCCAACTCCAGTCCTCCAGTATCCCCCAACACCCCAACTCCAGTCCTCCAGTTACCCCAACAGCCCAACTCCAGTCCTCCAGTATCCCCCCAGTATTCCCCAACAGCCAACTTCCAGTCCTACAGTACCCCCAACAGCCAACTCCAGTCCTCCCAGTATCCCCAACAGCCCAATCCAGTCCTCCAGTACCCCACAGCACAACTCAAGTCCTCCAGTATCCCCAACACACCAACTTGGTCCTCCAGTACCCCAACACAACTCTGGTCCTCCAGTACTGGAGGCGGGAGTGGGCCTGTTGGGGATACTAGAGTACTGGAGTGTGCTGTTGGGTTACTGGGACTGGAGTGGTGTGGTTGGGGATACTAGAGGACTGGAGTTGTGCTGTTGGGGTTACTGGAGGACTGGAGTTGTGCTGTTGGGGATACTGGAGGACTGGAGTTGGGAACCACTGCTCTAAATGAATGTAATGTTTTTGTTTTGTTACTTTATCTTTTAATCATTAGATCATTAGATGTTTGTTTTTACTATTACCAGGAGGACCACTTTGGAAACAAGTGTTTTAATTAGAAGTGCTATCCTCTGGGATCTGTCCTCTGGGATCTGTCCTCTGGGATCTATCCTCTGGGATCTGTCCTCTGGGATCTATCCTCTGGGATCTGTCCTCTGGGATCTATCCTCTGGGATCTGTCCTCTGGGATCTGTCCTCTGGGATCTATCCTCTGGGATCTGTCCTCTGGGATCTGTCCTTTGGGATCTGTCCTTTGGGATCTATCCTCTGGGATCTGTCCTCTGGGATCTGTCCTCTGGGATCTGTCCTCTGGGATCTGTCCTCTGGGATCTGTCCTCTGGGATCTATCCTCTGGGATCTATCCTCTGGGATCTGTCCTCTGGGATCTGTCCTCTGGGATCTGTCCTCTGGGATCTATCCTCTGGGATCTGTCCTCTGGGATCTGTCCTCTGGGATCTGTCCTCTGGGATCTATCCTCTGGGATCTGTCCTCTGGGATCTGTCCTTTGGGATCTGTCCTTTGGGATCTATCCTCTGGGATCTGTCCTCTGGGATCTGTCCTCTGGGATCTGTCCTTTGGGATCTGTCCTCTGGGATCTGTCCTCTGGGATCTGTCCTCTGGAATCTGTCCTCTGGGATCTGTCCTCTGGGATCTATCCTCTGGGATCTATCCTCTGGGATCTGTCCTCTGGGATCTGTCCTCTGGGATCTGTCCTCTGGGATCTATCCTCTGGGATCTGTCCTCTGGGATCTGTCCTCTGGGATCTGTCCTCTGGGATCAAATGCACATCTGGTGTATTATTTTCCCTAATAAAGTCTAATCATTTCAGGTGACAGCCAAGCGCTTCCTGAACATGTACATGGAGATCTCTACAGCTCTGGGGGACGCAGGAGGACTGGGGAAGGCTTATAAAGCCATAGCCAAGTCACTGGAGAGGTAGATGACTAGTGCTGAGCCATTAACCATTCGGTTTATTCAATCAACTAATTAATCAATTGTCGGTTCAATTGCTTTGAATTCCATTTTTTTGTGAGCCCAACCCGCCGTTTCTCTAGAGGGAAATCAAATCATTCAGGAGAGAAATCAAGTCAAGAACTATGTGGGACGCTGGGCTGAAGGGAGTTGTAGTTTTCAGTAAGCAAATATTCAACCTAGTTCAGCGCAGAAACGTGGTAACTAACTACAATGACCATAATCCATTGCGTCAGTTTTTTTGGGGCTCAGACGGATCAGAGAGGAAGAGGCGAAGCGAGAGGTTTCACTCTCTCCAAAATCTGTCCAAAATAAGCCCAATGCGTTTCTATGGGTTTATTTTGGACCTAAGCTTGTCGCCTGCCTTCCCACCTTTGGGTCAACAACTCCCATTGTTAGAGCGGAGACATGAGCATCTCATCATTATATACAGATCTCTGGAAGGATACACTTTTACGCCTGCTACGTTAGGTTAGATACACACAGACCACATACAGTGAGGGAAAAAAGTATTTGATCCCCTGCTGATTTTGTACGTTTGCCCACTGACAAAGAAATGATCAGTCTATAATTTTAATGGTATGTTTATTTGAACAGTGAGAGACAGAATAACAACAAAAAAATCCAGAAAAACGCATGTCAAAAATGTTATAAATTGATTTGCATTTTAATGAGGGAAATAAGTATTTGACCCCCTCTCAGTCAGAAAGATTTCTGGCTCCCAGGTGTCTTTTATACAGGTAACGAGCTGAGATTAGGAGCATCACACATTCGAAACCAAAATCTAAAACTGTGATTATTTATTAATAATCTAACCGAACCGACTTCAAAAAGCACTAATCGCTCAGCACTATTTTACACACACATGGACACACAGACACACTGAAGGACAGACGGACACACACACTGAAGGACAGATGGACACACACAGGGACACACAGACACTGAAGGACAGATGGACACAGGGACACACAGACACACTGAAGGACAGATGGACACACACAGGGACACGGGGGGCACACACACCTGACATTTTGTGTCGTTGGAAGGTTCCTATACAGTTCATGTCAATTGTGTGTGTGTGTGTGTGTGTGATGTGTGTGTGTGTGTGTGTGTGTGTGTGTGTGTGTGCGTGCGTGTCCTAGTGAGGGGAAGCTGAGTGAGACGGTCCAGTATCTGGAGAAGTTTGCAGAGGTTTCCCAGAGCAACAACCAATACCTCAACCTAGAGGAAGCATGCATGTATCTAGGAGTCATCTTCAACTCTAGAGTAAGATGGAGGGAGGGAGGGAGGGAGGGAGGGAGGGAGGGGGGGGGGAGGGAGGGAGGGAGGGAGGGAGGGGGGGGGGGAGGGAGGGGGGGAGGGAGGGAGGGAGGGAGGGAGGGAGGGGAGGGGGGGGGGGGGGAGGGAGGGAGGGAGGGGAGGGAGGGGGGGAGGGAGGGAGGGAGGGAGGGAGGGGGGGGAGGGAGGGGACTAAATACAAATGCAGAGAGATGGATTGACATTTTACAATTTCACAACATGCATTTATTCCACTTTTCAAATTAAGCATCCTCTCTCTCTCTCTTTCTCTCTCTCTCTTTCTCTCTCTCTCTCTCTCTCTCTCTCTCTCCAGGGTCAGTACAAAAAAGGCTGTACGTACTTCGAGCGGGGGTACGAGATCGCCTGTGACCTGGGGGATGTCCCCCTGCTCCAGAGGGCTCAGGTAGGAGGGTCTTTCTATAAATAATGGGCCAATGTGTGACATTGGGATCAACATCTCAAAATGGTTTGTGACAAAAATACAAAAGGATTTTCATGCAGTTCCATATGTGTACTTAAGAGGAAATTGGGCCATAACTCCACCTTTACAACAACAGGTCTAGGACTATACATCCTTTAAGCTGGGTTCATACAGACGTTGGCAAGTCAAATTCAAGGACTTTCAGGGACTTTTTCAAGCACTTATTGGTAATTTCCAAGGACCTCAATGTTATACAATTATATAATTTATAATGTAATATAAAATAATGTGTAAAAAGTGTCAAAAAAGTTACCACTTTAAGAATAATATATATTTTTAGGACTTGCCAATGCATTGTAAAATATGTGAGAATAATGTGGACTAAATAGATTGGATGCATTTTTCTGTAGCCGACATAGGAACACATAATACATCCATGAATAGTGGTAGCATTAATCTCAGGCACACATAATACATCCATGAATAGTGGTAGCATTAATCTCAGGCACACATAATACATCCATGAATAGTGGTAGCATTAATCTCAGGCACACATAATACATCCATGAATAGTGGTAGCATTAATCTCAGGCACACATAATACATCCATGAATAGTGGTAGCATTAATCTCAGGCACACATAATACATCCATGAATAGTGGTAGCATTAAATCTCCCCATTTGAATCTCACCATCGCTGTTTTTCTAACGAGAAAGGGACCTTCTTCTTCTTCTTCGGTGGAGTTTAACGGCGGTTGGCATCCAATATGTTGCATTACCGCCCCCTACTGGACTATTGTATAAATCCACTTTGTGATACAAAATGTCAAAAGGGCAAAGAAGCTAAAACATGAAAGACTAATAAATGTTTTATTACCAACGAACCCTACGCTCATTAAAACCCACCACCTTATTCCACTACTTTAACCCTATCTGCTCCTGAACCAGGCCAACAGCCTGGGAGGAAGGGACACCACCCCTCAACACACCCTGTAACTCTTCTGCAGTTAAATCTCGTACCCCCAAGTACTTCTCTGCAGCTGCCACCACAACCTCTATTTTCTGGGATTTACGTTCCATCTCTGCGGTACAGTTGATAACCATTGCTATGAATGCTAAGAAGCCAACCTTATTGAAACGCACAGCCCTCATTGTTCGATCCCTCTGTTCTGACACAGATCTACTATTCACAGGGATCTTCTCAGAATCCCTCACCCTTCACCCTTCACCCTTGACCCATCCTCCTCTACTCTCTTCACTGCCTCAGCATACGACACCTTCTGCACTACTCCGACTCTAGCCACCTCAACCTGTCTCTCTCGCACCTGACACCTCCGAACCCCAGCAACATGTGCACCCCTACAGTTGACACACACAACTTTTTCCCCACCGAAACGACACATTCCTCTATCCCATGGCCTCCTGCACACTTCCCACGTCTTGGAATCTCCCTCCTACACACTGCTGCGACGTGACCATAAACGTGACACCTATAACACCGCAGTGGATTCAGCACAAAAGCATAACTCATATTATCCTAACATGCCTTTGTCAGGTAAAGACTCTGAATCTGCGTCGCCCACCAAACGGCAGGCGTCACAAACACCAGGAATCTTCAACTTCAATTGCTCCACCTCCACACTTAACGCTACCCCAGAAATCACTCCCTTCAAATGGTGCCCTGTACCTAAGCGCAAAGCAAGATACAGGTCTTTCCCAGAGTTGCGTCGCAAGGAAACACCCCCCCCCCAAAAAATAATCCACTTCGGGTTACCTTCACCGACTCAACAACCACCGTCTTTTCCACCCAACCTGAAACCACCCATGGATCAGCCAAAAGGCCTGGTTTCATCCCTCTTCAAAAATCTCACTCCCACTGGACCAAACATATCTTTATCATAACCACGTCCATCAATGCAAGACTTGTCCGAGCTCCTCACAACACCTTCTTCCATTTCACCTCCACAACTCGAAGTGGCGTCGGGCTCACTCTGTTTTAACTAGACACCAATCTTCCTCGACATACCCTCTCCCTTGTTATTGCTAGCTTCAACAGATTCAAACCCATCCTCTGCCTCTCTTACATTTTACATTTTATTCATTTAGCAGACGCTCTTATCCAGAGCGACTTACAGGAGCAATTAGGGTTAAGTGCCTTGCTCAAGGGCACATCGACAGATTTTTCACCTAGTCGGCTCGGGGATTAGAACCAGCGACGTTTCGGTTACTGGCACAACGCTCTTAACCACTAAGCTACCTGCCGCCCCACGTGTCTTTTCAACTCCCTCTGTCTTTCCCTCTGTCTTTCCCTCTGTCTTTCCAAGCCAACATCTATTTTTTAGAGACATGCTAAGACCTCATGCAGAAATCGAGAAAGTGACCAAAAACCAGGTTAATTTTTTTAAATGATAGGATTTGTATGGAAAGCCAAGTTGAAGCCAGCATTAGATGTTGTCATCTTCATAATAACCGCACGTGGTTTTACCTCAACAGAGTAGCAGAACACCCTTCATTAGACGTTGTCATCTTCATAATAACCGCACGTGGTTTTACCTCAACAGAGTAGCAGAACACCCTTCATTAGACGTTGTCATCTTCATAATAACCGCACGTGGTTTTACCTCAACAGAGTAGCAGAACACCCTTCAATTGAAGCAGCGGGAAACAATCGAAAGTGGACACATCTCTCATAAAAAACAGATCAAAAAATGAAATCATGGACAGGTAGAAGGGAGCAGGAGTACTTAGAAATTGTCTACAATAATTACAAGGTCCAGAAATGTCTGATTTTCAAGGCAGTTTCCAGTACTTCAATTTCTGAGCTCCAAATTAAAAATTGGCTACTTCAAGATCTTTGTATTATTACACAATTTCAGGTGTAACATGGGAAACCAAAATGTATTTGTCATGTTTGCTCTCCCGAGTGGCGCAGTGGTCTAAGGCGCTGCATCACAGTGCTAGCTGTGCCACTAGAGATCCTGGTTCGAATCCAGGCTCTGTCGTAGCCGGCCGTGACCGGGAGACCCATGGGGCGGCGCACAATTGGCCCAGCGTCGTCCAGGGTAGGGGAGGGAATGGCCGGCAGGGATGTAGCTCAGTTGGTAGAGCATGGCGTTTGCAACGCCAGGGTTGTGGGTTCGATAAAATAATGTATGCGCTAACTGTAAGTCGCTCTGGATAAGAGCGTCTGCTAAATGACTAAAATTTAATTTTATTACCAGATCATATTGTCAAGAAGCCCACTGAACTATGTCATGTGTTGCCATTATATCCAGAATGATTCATAGGAAGAGTTGGGTGTTTTTTTTGTTGTTGTCATTTTTAGTAGACGCTCTTATCCAGAGCGACTTACAGTTAGTGAGTGCATACATTTTCCGTACTGCCCCCCCGTGGGAATCGAACCCTGGCGTTGCAAACTGTCAGTGTTTGAAGTGGATGTGATGTTGGAGTCAGGCGCAGGACACAGAAGCTTAGTCCAACAGGCTTTACTAGTCAGAAATATGACAATACAAAAGAACGGGCCTCAAGCAACGGAGGCGAGCGATACGCGAACAGTGCGTAAAACACGAAATATAAGCGATACGCAAACAGTGCGTAAAACACGAAATATAAGCGATGCGCAAACAGTGCGTCAATACACTTAAATACACCAGAGCAAAATCCAAAACCCCAACGGACAGGCGAACAACAACACACAACTACAAACAAAACCAAAGGAAACTTATAGGTGACATAATCAATAAGTGATAAGACACAGGTGCACCAAACAGACAAAACCAAACAAACATAGTGGTCCTCTGTAGCTCAGCCGGTAGAGCACGGCGCTTGTAACGCCAGGGTAGTGGGTTCGATCCCCGGGACCACCCCATACACAAAAAAAATGTATGCGCACATGACTGTAAGTCGCTTTGGATAAAAGCGTCTGCTAAATGGCATATTATTATTATTATTATTATTATAGAGAACATCAAACGGTAGCAGCTAGTACTCCGGGGACGACGAACGCCGAAGCCTGCCCGAACAAGGAGGAGGAGCAGCCTCAGCTGAATTCGTGACACAAACGCCATGCTCTACCAACTGAGCTACAGGGTGTTGCGCAATTATCTATCCTACACAATTGCGCACCAGTACACTCGGGGTCACAAAAACATAATGAAAAACATGAACTCATTACCTCGATGCTGTTAAATCAGACAACAACAGATGATCAACATCAATTTTGGATATTAGATCCAACGTGGATCCAGGAACAGCTGTCTTCACCTGCGTAACAAAAGAGACAGCAAGATATTCTGGACATTCCTCGCAAACACCTTCACATGCCTTATCACAACAGCTGTTGTTGCATCGCATGCCTTATCACAACAGCTGTTGTTGCATCGCATGCCTTATCGCAACAGCTGTTGTTGCATCGCATGCCTTATCACAACAGCTGTTGTTGCATCGCATGCCTTATCACAACAGCTGTTGTTGCATCGCATGCCTTATCACAACAGCTGTTGTTGCATCGCATGCCTTATCACAACAGCTGTTGTTGCATCGCATGCCTTATCACAACAGCTGTTCCTCACTTGACTGTCGTTCAGAAAATTCCTTCCTGGATCAGATGATGATCTGTGAAAATATCACCCGTAATTAAACAGCTCGACAACCAAATGCGCATCCAATGAGTATTATGCATAATTATTGAAGAACCACGTTAGTGACAGTATCGATCTAGGTTTTAAGTATCAAGGTAAGGTGCCTTTCAGTTAGAAGCATTCGATTTTGCAATCGCATACATTTTGGTGGGATTTGTGTGCCCATGAAAACTTTTCACCACGTAACATAAGGAGACACGACAGTTACACGTAGTTACACTGTATTTCTGAGATCTCTACAAAAAAACGGAACTACATTTTATTTGTATTTCTTATTGACACATACACTGGATAGGTGCAGTGAAATGTGTTATTTTACAGGATTCTTACCGGGTTCAAGTTGAATGTCTAATTTAACTGATTAATGCTTAATATATGATATAATGACAACCTACAATGCCATACATGCAGGGACAGAAAAGTAATGTTTTATTTCACACGATTTTGGACAAATCCGTCAAGACAGCAACCATGAGAAAGGGTTAAACATACTGTAGGTTTTAAATCAACTCGTGATTTTTATTGAGTGCCTTGCCTTCAGAAAGTATTCACACCCCTTAAACTTTTTCCACATTTTGTTGTGTTACAGCCTGAATTTAAAATCGATTAAATTGAGCTTTTGTATCATTGGCCAGGAGAAGTTGTCTGGTTCCCAGCGGGCGATACGGGTTCGAGTCCTGCTGCAGCGATCCGGGAAGTCCGATCTCAATATACAAAAAGCTTTATTACAAGCATGCATGCAAGGGGAAAACGAATTCGACTCGCTCTTTGTTCTCACAGACATTTATACAGACCCAGGATGGGTGGGGTTGTTTCACATGCCCTTGGAATGAGTCCGGTACTTCTGCCCATCACCACAGATAGTAGGCCCAGAGAAAGACGGATCATACCAGGGACATGTCCACTCCCCCACACATCCTGGGATAACAGGAACCATTAAAGATCGTTTCACAGAAAGATAGAGCAGGGCAGTTTAGAAACATGTTATAAAACGGACTGGTTATATTACAAAAGGGCAACTTGAAACAGAGCAACCTTACAGACAACAGGATGCTCCTTCTTCAGGTCGTATAAAGATAACAGGTGATTCTAACATGTATTGACTGAGGGGTGTGAATACTTACGTAAATTATATATTTTCTTTATTTCATTTTCAATACATTTGCAAACATTTCTAAAACCATGTTTTCACTTTGTCATTATGGGGTATTTGTGTGTAGATGGGTGTGAGGAGGAAAAAAACTCAATTTAATCCATTTTGAATTCAGGCTGTAACACAATAAAATGTGGATAAGTCAAAGGGTGTGAATACATTCTGAAGGGACTGTAGCTATGTTACCCTCGAATATCTTAATGTAATGACATGAAAAAAATTGACATATTATTATCAATGACTTATCAACGACAGCTGTAACAAGTTGTCCCTCGCTGGTTCCCTCGTTTCTAGAAAGATCCATGGACATTATGGATGTGTCCCAAATGGCACCCTAGTCCTTCTGATATAGTGGACTACTGTGACCAGGGCTGATGGGGGACACAGACTATGACCAGGGCTGATGGGGGACACAGCCTATGTGACCAGGGCTGATGGGGGAGACAGCCTATGTGACCAGGGCTGATAGGGGAGACAGCCTACTTTGACCAGGGCTGATGGGGGACACAGCCTACTTTGACCAGGGCTGATGGGGGAGACAGCCTACTTTGACCAGGGCTGATGGGGGAGACAGCCTATGTGACCAGGGCTGATGGGGGAGACAGCCTATGTGACCAGGGCTGATAGGGGAGACAGCCTACAGTGAGGGAAAAAAGTACTTGATCCCCTGCTGATTTTGTACGTTTGCCCACTGACAAAGAAATGATCAGTCTATAATTTTAATGGTAGGTTTATTTGAACAGTGAGAGACAGAATAACAACAACAAAAATCCAGAAAAACGCATGTCAAAAATGTTATAAATTGATTTGCATTTTAATGAGGGAAATAAGTATTTGACCCCCTCTCAATCAGAAAGATTTCTGGCTCCCAGGTGTATTTTATACAGGTAACGAGCTGAGATTAGGAGCACACTCTTAAAGGGAGTGCTCCTAATCTCAGTTTGTTACCTGTATAAAAGACACCTGTCCACAGAAGCAATCAATCAGATTCCAAACTCTCCACCATGGCCAAGACCATAGAGCTCTCCAAGGATGTCAGGGACAAGATCGTAGACCTACACAAGGCTGGAATGGGCTACAAGACCATCGCCAAGCAGCTTGGTGAGAAGGTGACAACAGTTGGTGCGATTATTCGCAAATGGAAGAAACACAAAAGAACTGTCAATCTCCCTCGGCCTGGGGCTCCATGCAAGATCTCACCTCGTGGAGTTGCAATGATCATGAGAACGGTGAGGAATCAGCCCAGAACTACACGGGAGGATCTTGTCAATGATCTCAAGGCAGCTGGGACCATAGTCACCAAGAAAACAATTGGTAACACACTACGCCGTGAAGGACTGAAAACCTGCAGCGCCCGCAAGGTCCCCCTGCTCAAGAAAACACATATACAGGGACGTCTGAAGTTTGCCAATGAACATCTGAATGATTCAGAGGAGAACTGGGTGAAAGTGTTGTGGTCAGATGAGACCAAAATCGAGCTCTTTGGAATCAACTCAACTCGCCGTGTTTGGAGGAGGAGGAATGCTGCCTATGACCCCAAGAACACCATCCCCACCGTCAAACATGGAGGTGGAAACATTATGCTTTGGGGGTGTTTTTCTGCTAAGGGGACAGGACAACTTCACCGCATCAAAGGGACGATGGACGGGGCCATGTACCGTCAAATCTTGGGTGAGAACCTCCTTCCCTCAGCCAGGTCTACAAGAACTGTCTGACCTCTGATTGCCAACAAGGGTTTTGCCACCAAGTACTAAGTCTTGTTTTGCAGAGGGGTCAAATACTTATTTCCCTCATTAAAATGCAAATCAATTTATAACATTTTTGACATGCGTTTTTCTGGATTTTTTTGTTGTTATTCTGTCTCTCACTGTTCAAATAAACCTACCATTAAAATTATAGACTGATCATTTCTTTGTCAGTGGACAAACGTACAAAATCAGCAGGGGATCAAATACTTTCTTCCCTCACTGTATGTGACCAGGGCTGATAGGGGACACAGCCTATGTGACCAGGGCTGATAGGGGACACAGCCTATGTGACCAGGGCTGATAGGGGACACAGCCTATGTGACCAGGGCTGATAGGGGACACAGCCTATGTGACCAGGGCTGATAGGGGACACAGCCTATGTGACCAGGGCTGATAGGGGACACAGCCTATGTGTAAATTCTTCTGTCTGTATATTCTGTTTATTGTTTTCGACACCATGTCACCATGGTTACATGGAAACGTACTTGGTGAGTAAAGCCGATTCCGGTCACCCGTCTGGGCCTGGTTCCTCTCTAGGTTTCTTCCTAGGTTTCCTGCCTTCTAGGGAGTTGTTACTAGCCACTGTGCCTCTGCCAGCCTCTGCAATGCTGGCTCTTTGGGGGTTTCGGCTGGGAAAACTGCTGATGTAAAAAGGTAAATTTTATAAAATAATAATGTTTGATTGTGATTGTCAGGTGTTTGTGGGTAGTGCCCGGGCCCACAGCATGATCAGGAACTACAGTCGTTACGTAGAGACGGCGTCACACGGTGACCTGCTACACCTGACAGGCTGGAAGGAGAGCAGGGAGGACGTCTTTACTGACGCAACAGCCCCCGCCGGAGCAGGTGAGAGCAGGGAGGACGTCTTTACTGACGCAACAGCCCCCGCCGGAGCAGGTGAGTCTGGTCAGGAAGATAAAATCGGGTCTCAAATGACTCCCTTTTCCCTTTTATAGTCCGTCTAGGGAATAGGGTACCATTTAGGACTCTAGAGAATAGGGTACCATTTAGGACTCTAGGGAATAGGGTACCATTTAGGACTCTAGGGAATAGGGTACCATTTAGGACTCTAGGGAATAGGGTACCATTTAGGACTCTAGGGAATAGGGTACCATTTAGGACTCTAGGGAATAGGGTACCATTTAGGACTCTAGGGAATAGGGTACCATTTAGGACTCTAGGGAATAGGGTACCATTTAGGACTCTAGGGAATAGGGTACCATTTAGGACTCTAGGGAATAGGGTACCATTTAGGACTCAGGAATGTAGTGGAGGTTCCCCAAATATAATGTTTTTAAAATCAGTGTTGTTATTGGAGCTAGTTTATTGTAGGCTAGTAGCATGTTCTCCATTTCAAAACGTGTTCCCACTGTTGTTTTAAACAGAGGGAAAGATATGAGGAGGAAGAGGAGGAAGAGGAGGACCAGAGAAGAAGAAGAAGAAGGGCTCTTATCACCATGGTGATAATAAAACATCAAACTCTGGTCATAGCAAAAGGTGTTTACCTTTCATTTACAAACTGTAGAAACTATGAGAATAGAAAAGGTTCAGAACTTTTGTAAAACATCACAGTACAGTTGAAATATATATGGCAAATAGAAATCCAATATGGATGGTGTTAAGAGATAAGTGGGAGGTGTTGAGTGGAGCTGAAGGATGGGACTAATAAACAACAAGATAACTCATGTAAAATATACTGTGTCTGTCAAATGTATATAGTATGTATAAGATGGAAGTAGAAGCCTAAGTGTTGTTGTCCATTAGTTTAGTCCAATTAGGGGAGGGATGGTGGGGTTAGGGGAAAATAATCAAATATATACACTACCGTTCAAAAGTTTGGGGTCACTTAGAAATGTCCTTGTTTTTGAAAGAAAAGCCATTTTTTTGTCCATTAAAATAACATCAAATTGATCAGAAATACAGTGTTGACATTGTTAATGTTGGAAATGGCTATTGTAGCTGGAAACGGCTGATTTTTAATGGAATATCTACATAGGCGTACAGAGGCCCATTATCAGCAACCATCAGTCCTGTGTTCCAATGGCACGTTGTGTTTGCTAATCCAAGTTTATCATTTTAAAAAGGCTAATTGATCATTAGAAAACCCTTTTGCAATTATGTTAGCACAGCTGAAAACTGTTGTGCTGATTAAAGAAGCAATACAACTGGCCTTCTTGAGACTAGTTGAGTATCTGGAGCATCAGCAATTGTGGGTTCGATTACAGGCTCAAAATGGCCAGAAACAAAGAACATTCTTCTGAAACTCGTCAGTCCATTCTTGTTCTGAGAAATGAAGGCTATTCCATACGAGAAATTGCCAAGAAACTGAAGATCTCGTACAACGCTGTGTACTACTCCCTTCACAGAACAGCGCAAACTGGCTCAAAACCAGAATAGAAAGAGGAGTGGGAGGCCCCGGTGCACAACTGAGCAAGAGGACAAATACATTAGAGTGTCTAGTTTGAGAAACAGACGCCTCACAGGTCCTCAACTGGCAGCTTCATTAAATAGTACCCGCAAAACACCAGTCTCAACGTCAACAGTGAAGAGGCGACTCCGGGATGCTGACCTTCTAGGCAGAGTTGCAAAGAAAAAGCCATATCTCAGACTGGCCAATAAAAAGAAAAGATTAAGATGGGCAAAAGAACACAGACACTGGACAGAGGAAGATTGGAAAAAAGTGTTATGGACAGACGAATCAAAGTTTGTGGTGTTCGGATCACAAAGAAGAACATTTGTGAGACGCAGACCAAATGAAAAGATGCTGGAGGAGTGCTTCATGCCATCTGTCAAGCATGGTGGAGGCAATGTGATGGTCTGGGGGTGCTTTGGTGGTGGTAAAGTGGGAGATTTGTACAGGGTAAAAGGGATCTTGAAGAAGGAAGGCTATCACTCCATTTTGAAACGCCATGCCATACCCAATTTCCTCCTACAACAGGACAATGACCCAAAGCACAGCTCCAAACTATGCAGTAACTATTTAGGGAAGAAGCAGTCAGCTGGTATTCTGTCTATAATGGAGTGGCCAGCACAGTCACCGGATCTCAACCCTATTGAGCTGTTGTGGGAGCAGCTTGACCGTATGGTACGTAAGAAGTGCCCATCAAGCCAATCCAACTTGTGGGAGGTGCTTCAGGAAGCATGGGGTGAAATCTCTTCAGATTACCTCAACAAATTGACAACTAGAATGCCAAAGGTCTGCAAGGCTGTAATTGCTGCAAATGGAGGATTCTTTGACGGAAGCAAAGTTTGAAGGACACAATTATTATTTCAATTAAAAATCATTATTTCTGACCTTGTCAATGACAACATTTCCTATTCATTTTGCTATATTTCCTATTTAAACTAATTTCATGTATGTTTTCGTGGAAAACAATGAACATTTCTAAGTGACCCCAAACTTTTGAATGGTAGTGTATATTTATAATAATATATAGTTACAAAATATATATATATAGGGGATTGGAAATGATGCAGACAATTGTATTGATGGAAGCTACAATCTATCTGCAATATTAAAGCTGATCTACCCCCTACAAAAAAAAGAAATCTGGTCATAATGTTATGTATATACAGTGCTATGAAAAAGTATTTGCCCCCTTTCTAATTTTCTCTACTTTGCATATTTGTGATACTGAATGTTATCAGATCTTCAACCAAAACCTAATATTAGATAAAGGGAACATAAGTGAACAAATAACACAACAATTACATATTTATTTCATAAACAAAGTTATGAAACACCCAATTCCCCTGTGTGAAAAAGTAATTGCCCCCTTACACTCAATAACTGGTTGTGCCACCTTTAGCTGCAATGACTCCAACCAAATGCTTCCTGTAGTTGTTGATCAGTCTCTCACGTCGGTGTGGAGGAATTTTGGCCCACTCTTCCATGCAGAACTGCTTTAACTCAGTGACGTGTGGGTTTTCAAGCATGAACTGCTCGTTTCAAGTCCTGCCACAACATCTCAATTGGGATTAGGTCTGGACTTTGACTAGGCCATTCAAAAACTTCCAATTTGTTGCTTTTTAGCAATCATGGATTGTGTATGTGTGCCATTCAGAGGGTGAATGGGCAAGACAAAATATTTAAGTGCTTTTTGAACAGGGTATGGTAGTAGGTGCCAGGCGCACCGGTTTGTGTCAAGAACTGAAACACTGCTGGGTTTTTCACACTCAACAGTTTCCCGTGTGTATCAAGAATGGTCCACCACCCAAAGGACATCCAGACAACTTGACACAACTGTGTGAAGCATTGGAGTCAACATGGGCCAGCATCCCTGTGGAATGCTTTCGACACCTTGTAGAGTCCATTCCCCCGACGAATTAAGGCTGTTCTTTTTTTTTTCACCTTTATTTAACCAGGTAAGCCAGTTGAGAACAAGTTCTCATTTAAAACTGCGACCTGGCCAAGATAAAGCAAAGCAGTGCGATAAAAACAACAACACAGAGTTACATATGGGGTAAAAAAACAGTCAAAAAATACAACAGAAAATATATATACAGTGTATGCAAATGTAGCAAGTTATGGAGGTAAGGCAATAAATAGGCCATAGTGCAAAATAGTTACAATTTCGTATTAACACTGGAATGATAGATGTGCAAAAGATGATGTGCAAATAGAGATACTGGGGTGCAAATTAGCAAAATAAATAACAATATGGGGATGAGGTAGTTGGGTGGGCTAATTACAGATGGGCTGTGTACAGGTGCAGTAATCGGTAAGGTGCTCTGACAACTGATGCTTATAGTTAGTGAGGGAGATAAGAGTCTCCAGCTTCAGAGATTTTTGCAGTTCGTTCCAGTCTTTGGCAGCAGAGAACTGGAAGGAATGGCTGCCAAAGGAGGTGTTGGCTTTGGGGATGACCCGTGAGATATACCTGCTGGAGCGCATACTACGGGTGGGTGTTGCTATGGTGACCAGTGAGCTAAGGTAAGACGGGGATTTGCCTAGCAGTGATTTATAGATGACCTGGAGCCAGTGGGTTTGGCGACGAATATGTAGTGAGGACCAGCCAGCAAGAGCGTACAGGTCACAGTGGTGGGTAGTGTATGGGGCTTTGGTGACAAAACGGATGGCACTGTGATAGACTACATCCAATTTGCTGAGTAGAGTGTTGGAGGCTATTTTGTAAATGACATCGCCGAAGTCAAGGATCGGTAGGATAGTCAGTTTTACGAGGGCATGTTTAGCAGCGTGAGTGAAGGAGGCTTTGTTGCGAAATAGGAAGCCGATTCTAGATCTAACTTTTGATTGGAGATGCTTAATGTGAGTCTGGAAGGAGAGTTTACAGTCTAACCAGACACCTAGGTATTTGTAGTTGTCCACATACTCTAGGTCAGACCCGTCGAGAGTGGTGATTCTAGTCGGGTGGGCGGGTGCAAGCAGCGTTCGGTTGAAGAGCATGCATTTAGTTTTACTAGTGTTTAAGAGCAGTTGGAGGCTACGGAAGGAGTGTTGTATGGCATTGAAGCTCGTTTGGAGGTTTGTTAACAGTGTCCAATGAAGGGCCAGATGTATACAAAATGGTGTCGTCTACGTAGAGGTGGATCTGAGAGTCACTAGCAGCAAGAGCAACGTCATTGATATACACAGAGAATAGAGTCGGGCCGAGAATTGAACCCTGTGGCACCCCCATAGAGACGGCCAGAGGTCCAGACAACAGGCCCTCTGATTTGACACATTGAACTCTATCTGAGAAGTAGTTGGTGAACCAGGTGAGGCAGTCATTAGAGAAACCAAGGCTATTTAGTCTGCCAATAAGAATGCGGTGGTTGACAGAGTCGAAAGCCTTGGCCAGGTCGATGAAGACGGCTGCGCAGTACTGTCTTTTATCGATCGCGGTTATAATATCGTTTAGGACCTTGAGCGTGGCTGAGGTGCACCCATGACCAG